AAATATACTCACAAAATATATTCACATTATATTTTGTAAAGTTTCCCAGCCCCTCATAGGCAATAACACAGACACAGGCACAGGCAGTAGAGTGACTTCTCAGGTGGAACTGCTTTGTATGCACCTAGGAACGCACTAATTGTTATTGAAATTTGGCGTGCACCTAAAAGGGGAAAAGAAAGTTGAAATTTCAGTAGAGCAGAAAAATACTAGCTTTAAAAATGAAATCTGGAACCATGTTCAACTTCCGTGGTCATCAGGAATCATTGCTGAATGCAATACAAATTAAAACATTGAAGTATAATTCTTGCCCATCATGTTGGCAGAAATGTCAGTGTCTGCTGGTTATTCATATCCACCCTGGTGAAGACGTGGAGTCTCTCATGCAGAAGTGTAAGTTGGCACAGCCACTTTGGAGGATAATTTGGCAACAGTTTCAGAGATAAAAGTGCTTGTGTTTTATAATCTAGCCCTTCTTAGTCTCGGGATCAGCCTTAGGGACACTCTTTCAGACAAAGTGGCAGGTAGGAACATTCATTGCAGCACCCTCGTTGACAGCAGCAGTTGGAGACAAATGAAGTACTATTCACATGTCGTCCGTAAACTTTGTCACTTCAAAGTGACAATCCAGTGCTTTTCAGTATATTCACAGGGTTTTGCAGCTATCCCCTCTATTCTAGAACATTTTCATCACCCCAAAAAGAAACCCCATGCCCACATCCCCTTCTTACAGTCCCTAGAAACCACTAATCTGCCCTCTGGCTCCATGAACTGACCTGTACTGGACTTTTCCCTTGTTTTATTTTTTTACCACCTCTGTTACTGGGGATTGAATCCAGGGCACTTTATCACTGAGCTACATCTAAGTTGCTGAGGGTCACACTAAGTTACTGGGGCTGGCCTTGAACATGGGATCTTGCCTGAGCTTCCTGTGTTGCTGAGGTTATGGGCATGTGCCACCATGCCCTGCTTGGACATTTCATATCAGTGCAATTATATAATCTGTGATTTTTTTTTTTTTTTTTTGTAACAGCTTTAATATTTTTTTTTCTTCAATACATGTCAACAAACTGTCAAGCTCAGGGCCTTGCTCATGCTAGGTAAGCACTCTACCTCTGAGACACAGCCCCCACACCTGCAGCAGCTTTATTGAGATACAATTCATATAACACGATTTGCTTGGTTTAAATGTACAGTTCCGTAGTTTTTAGTATATTCATTGAATTGTGCAACCATCCCCACAGTCAGTTTTAGAACATTTTTATCACCCCAAGAAAGAGCTCCATGTACCCTTTAGCTATCATCCCCCAAATCCTCCTCCCCAGATCCAGGCAAGGATTTCTGTCCTACAGATTTCCCTGTTCTGGACATTTCTTGTAAATGGAACAGTAAACGTGGGGCCTTTGGTTTCTGACTTCTTTCACTTACATCTTCAAGATCCCTCCCTACTGCAGCGCCTGTCAGTGCGCCCTTCCCTTCTGCCGCTGAGTGACATTCCCTTGTATGGACACACCACTTTCTGTCTGTCCTTTTATTAGTGGATGGGTGTGGGGGTTTCCCACCTTCTGAATATTAAGATAATTCGGTCGTGAACATCCATGTACGAGCTTGTTTTTTTTTTTTTTAATATTTACTTTTTAACACAATACCTTTATTTCACTTATTTATTTTTATGTGGTGCTGAGGATCAAACCCAAGGTCTCGCACGAGCAAGGCGAGCGCTCTACCGCAGAGCCCCAACCCCAGTCCTCCGTGTACGAGCTTTTATATGAACATATGTTTTCAGTTCTCTTAGGGGGAATGACTGGGTCATTTGGTAGCTCTACTTAATTTTTTGAGGAATTGCCAAACTCTCTTCCCTAGCAGTTTTCTGTTTCCATCAGTCATATGTGAGGGTTTCAGTGCCTCTAATCTTGCCAATGTTGTTATTTTTTACTGTTTCAGTATAGTCATCCTCGTGGGTGTAACTTATGATGTTGAGCATCTTGACACGTGTTTTTTGGCCATTTATGTGTGGCCAAATATAGATTATACTGTGGCATTTTTATGCTACTCCATAGAGCAGTTAAAAGGAATGAGGTGGCTCTATATGTGATGATCCAAGTAGCAACATGATACAGTACCATACATTTTATATCAGTGTACCCAGGTGTGCTGTTTCTGTACATGCATATACACACAAGAATGTATGGGTTCTGTGTGCTTAAATATAGACAATGTAAGTTCTTCTACCATCATTCTCTGCAATTTCTGGTCTCCTGGAGCTCTATAGCACTTCTGTCTGTCTGTTTCTCTTTTTTTTTTGGCGGGGGTTGTGTGGTACTGGGGATTGAACTCAAGACTTGCATGGTAAGCAAGGGCTCTACCACTGAACTACATCCTCAGTCCTTTAAATACACACACACACACACACACATACATACATATGCATAGATGTATACAGGCATATGTCTGAGAGAGCACAGGGGGTGGTGGTACAGTCCCCAAGACTTACCGAGATGGCTTTATCTTGCATTAGAAGATGAACTAAGCTGGGGTGGGATATGATTAGAGGGGACTGATTATAACATTTTATGTGGTAGTCATAACGACGTGTTTTAAAACACCCGGAAATAAATGGTTTACTGCTTGAAAACATAAGAAGAAAGAGCCTCTGGGCTGCTGGCTGGCCACTCTGGCGGGGAGTGTGCTGGCTGCTGTGTCACTGACTCCCTTTAGAGCTGTGTTCTGTGCTGAGGGTGGCCCCGGACCTCACACATGCTCTGTAAGCGCTCTGCCACTGGTCAACGTCCCCACCCCCTATCATTAGTCTACTACTGCATAGCAACTCAAATAGTGTAGAAGTTTCTAAAATTAAAATGAACCTACCTCCTGTCTTCACCCCCCACACGTGCACATGAGGGCACACACGCCGTTTTGCCAGGGAGGGTCCTTTTCTTTTTCTTGTTCATTTTGTTTGGTTTGGTTTGGGCTTTGTTACTGGGGCTTGTTCCCAGGGTGCTTTAACACTGAGCTCCCCCCACAGCCTTTTCTTTTCTTGGTGCTGGAGTTTGAACTCAGGGGCACTCAACCACTGAGCCAGATCCCCAGCCCTTTTTTGTATTTTGTTTAGACACAGGGTCTCACTGAGTTGCTTAGTGCCTCACAGTTGCTGAGACAATTCTATTGTCTCAGCCTCCTAAGCCACTGGGATCACAGCCGTGTGCCACCGCGCCCAGCCCCACGATCTTTTCTATGTATTAGTTTGAAACAGGTCTCACTAAGGTGCTGAAGCTGGCCTCAAACTTAGGATTCACCTGCCTCAATCTCCCAAATAACAGTGTGAGCACTGTGCCCAACTTTAGGTTCTTTTTTTTTTTCCTTTCTTTTTTTGGGTAGTGGAGAGTTAACCCAGCGGTGCTCTGCCACTGAGTTTACATTCCCAGCTTTTTTGTTTTTATTTTGAGACAGGGTCTGACTCTGTCTAGCCTCAAACTTGCCATCCTCCTGCCTCAGCCTCCTGAGAAGCTGGCATTATAGGCGTGTGCCACTGCAGCCAATAAGGATCCTTTTCTTGATAAACGTCTGTGTTCTGGTATTGTTCCTCCACCCAGTGAGGTGTCCCTGCTTAGCCTTCTGTTGGTGCTGGGGAAGCTCCTTCCTCTGTGTCTTCCTCAGAGTGCCGCCAGGGCCATGCTCTGCAGACCTTCCTAGTGTCACCCTCACCAGAGTGTGGGGGTTAGGCCTGGAGTTCTGCCTAAATATCTTTTTCCCCCTGGGACTGGGGATGGAACCCAGGCTTCTCGCATGCTAGGCAAGCGCTCTGCCATGAGCTTGGACTTCTTTTGTTTTACACAAGGCCCCTATGATGATTCAGATGGAGCAGTGGGGTTAAGAATTGTTTATCTAGTGAGTAATCCAGCAATAAAAAAATGAACCCAAGGTGCATCTTTGAGAATTATTTTTGGTAGGTGCTTTAGGAGAGATTAACGAGCCTGTCAGTTTTATAGAAACACGCTGTACTTAGATGATCTCTTTTCTTCCAGGGATTTCACAGAACTTTTTACTTTGGGTTATTTTCAGCATTTGAGTTCATCTCTAAATAGTCAACATAGAGCTGCCATCTGAGTCTGTGAGAAAGTGATCTTGGGTTTCTTTTTTGTTTTTTTTTTTTAATGCTAGGACAAACTTGTCTTACAAGGTTTCCCCATTTTACCTTGAAAATGGGCATATGGGCAGCTTCTCACTCTTTTTTTTTAATATTTATTTTTTTTTTAGTTTTAGATGGACACAATATCTTTATTTTATATTTATGTGGTGCTGAGGATCGAACCCAGTGCCTCATGCATGCTAGGTGAGCGCTCTACTACTGAGCCACAACCCCAGCCCACATTCTCACTCTTGAGATGGCCTACATTCTCCCTTGAATGTGTCTCAGCTTCCCTGAGGAAATCTCTATGCTTCTAAAAACAAAAACAACAACAAAAAAGGAAAAATAGAGTGGCTGTATGTAGAAGAATGATACGTATTGCATCTTCCATGCCAGGCAGAGTACCTTGTGCAAAAATTTCTTCCCCCAGATTCCTGTAGACTTCTTAGTTTATCTGCGATGCAAGTGAGAAACTCAAGTGACTCATATAATGATAGACTAATTTCCTCTCTTTTGTGTGCATGTATGTTGCGGGGCGCTTGTGGGGGTTAAACCCAGGGGTGCTTTACCACTGAGTTATATATCCCCAGCCCTTTTTATTTTTATTTTGAGGCACAATATCACCAAGTTGCCTGGACTGGCCTTGAACTTGTGATCCTCCTATCTCAGCCTCCTAAGTCACTGGGATCACAGGTGTGCGCCACCATGGCCAGCCAATATTTTATTCTTATTTTTTCAGATATAAAACTTGCTGAGCTCCATGAAAACCATTTAAAACACAATGAATAATATTCAGTTTCTCTAGAATTATAAGCCTGAATAGTCTTTCTCCTGTCTAAATTTATGTTAAACTTCACTTTCTCTCTTCTAGGTATCCTCATGGGAGCAGTTATAAAAATTATAGAGTTTAAAAAACTGGCAAATTGGAAGGTAAGTTTGCCTAACTGTTCATTTTGTAATATGATCACAGTTTCTGGTTGTTTTTTTAGTAGCATTAATGCTTATTCTAGTTTTCTTATTAACTGGATTGTCACTGAAGTTATTTATATTGTTCCATGAACTTTTTTTTTTTTTTTTTTTGTCATGGGGACCAAATCCAGGTTCTTGTGCTGGATAAGTGCTCTACCAGTGAGCTTCAGTCCCAGCTCCTATTCATTTTTTTTGTAAGATTCAGGTTGATTCCTTTACACGTGAATTTTTAGAAAATGCATAAATCTCGCACCATCTGACTGTCAGTTTGTTGTTACTTGCCTTTTGATAATCCTGCACTAACCGACTTCATGGGGAAGACTAATCAGCATTAAGCCTGAACAGTGAGCGTTCTGCTCGCACTCTGCCAGCTGAGGGTGATGAGGTGATGAAGGGTACTTGTCCAGCACTGTGGAGCTTAGAGCACTTGATACACTTTAGTTCCTGTGGTCCTTGTGACAGCCGCTTGACAAGCTAGGTTGACCAGTCATTATCATTGCCACCTCCTTACACTTGAAGGAGGTTGGGTCATGGCCAGTGTTGGCAGGGTTAGAGAGGAAGTGGCTGAACTGAGTCTTGGTTCAGACCCTGTGCCCTGTATATTCAGTATTCTCTCCACTATTCTATAGTTCCTCAGTTCGCTGATGTACATCCCCTTGTGTTTACAGGGTGGTTATTAGGGTATAAGCATCATTTGAAGTACAAGGACCAGCTGAAACTTGAATTCCAACTTAAACTTGAGCATCCTTATTGAGTAGAAAGTGTGTGGGAAAGTTCTAGGCTGGACAGGTGGGGCGGCGTCCTGGGGGAGCTGGCATCTGTGGAGAGCTGGAGTTGGAAGCCGGACAGCCTTCTGGAAACCGGATGCACAGGGAGCAGTGTGCGAGAAGAACAGTGAAGGAGCCTGATGGTTTCCTTCCACAGAGTCCTGTTTGTAAACTGTCCTGCTGAATCTGCTGCTTTCTGCCTGTATTATCACATGCTTAATATTTTCCTTTTTTTAAAATCCAGAGCCTCATGTATGCTGGGCAAATTCTCTATCACTGAGCTACATCCTTGGCCGATATTTTTGTTTATATCAGCTTACTTTTTAATTTATGTATATTTTTGGCAGTTTAAAAAAATGTTTCATGGTACAACATGCATAAAAATTATATTTTAGCCATTTTTTAGCAGATAATTCTGTGACATTAAATACATTCACAGTGTTGTATGCCCATCCCCCTATGTATTTTGAGAACTTTTTCATCATTCCAAACAAAAACTGTCTTCTCGAAGCCACAGCTCTGTCCCCCTTCCCATAGCCTGTGTGCCCTGTATTCATGTGGTCATGAAACATCTGCCCTTCCGTATCTGGCTTATTTTGGTTAACATGGTGCGTCCAGGCTGCATTCATGTGCTTGCATCTCTCAGAAATTCATTCCTTTCTATGGCTGAATAACTCTCACTTCTGTTACCCCTTCCTCTGGGGGTGGAGTCCCGGTTCTTTCCACCTTTTGGCTACTTGAATACTGCTGCTCTGGTGGTGATATACTGTATCCAACTTATTTTATTGCAGTGCCAGGGATGGAACCCAGGGCCTCCTTCCTGCTAGGAGAGAGCCACCCCCAGCTCCTTACCACCCCCCAGCTCCTTTCGCATTTATTTGGAAGGAAACAAACTAACATTAGGTGGGTTTTTTTTTTTGGTTTGGTGCTAGGGATGGAACCCAGGGCCTCACTCAAGCGAAGCCTGTCCTCTGTGGCTGAACTGCACCCCAGCCCCTAGTGCTGTTTTGTAAATAAATGGGGTAAAAGTGAAGTAGGACATGTGCCTGCTGACGCCTGGGCTCAGGCCTGCTCCCTCTGTCCAGGGGGCAGCCCAGTAGAGTGAGACTGTCGCCATGGCGATGCCAAACGTTGGGGCCAAACTTTTGAGGTTGGAAAAGAATGACAAGGGGCTGACCTTCTGTCCGTGGGGGAGTGGATTTGACACCATTGCTCGATGGCCACCCGAAACCACCTCAGACCATTTCCAGGGAGAAATTGTGGAAGGGGCCTGGCCGTCTGAGGAGGGGTGTTCATGTCCCCGTTCCCTACCACAGGGGTGGCTTGAGCTGCAGGTTTGTGCCTCACAGTCTGGGGCCCGAAGCTGCTGGAAAGGCTCTAGGAGGGAATCCTTCTGGGGCCCCAGGCACCCCGTGGCTTGTGGCTGTGAGCTCTGTCTCTGCCTCTGTCTTCCTGTGGCCTTCTGTGTGTGTCCTTTCCTGGCTCCTGCAGTTTGGCTGCACTTGGGCCCTCCCTCAGGGCGGGAACCCTTCTCAGTTCTCCCCTTACCTCTAGCCTGTCCTTACACCAGCCTGTTTCCCACTGAGAGCAGCCTGGGGGGTGCGGGGGGCACGGGCAGGGGAGCTGTGCGGGCTCCCTGAAGGCGCGCTCCTTTGTCCCGGGGTTTAGGTTTTGAACCTCCCGAAGGAGCTGCCAGGGCCTGACTGCGCAGATCCTAGTGGCCACCGCGAAGGCAGCCCTTTCTTTTGTGTGTGCCCGGAGGAGTGCCACCGCTGCAGAGGGGTTATTTTCAGACTCAGTAGGGCATTTCAGAGTCATCATTTGCTTCTATTTTGAGCCTTTTTTGAATGTTATCTTAGTCTTTATGATAGCAGCTACATTTGTAAGAATACAGTTAGTCATTCTTTTGAGTTAGGATTTTGACAAGAAATCAGACTGTCAGGATTGTGACATGGAAACATTCAGAGGGAGGGAGGCCTGGTTTTGCAGTATTGAGTAGCCTGGGGACCGCATGCAGCCATTTGGGGTTTATTGTTTTTCCCCAAATCCCAACAAAATTAGGCAGATTAATGCAGAGATGGAATTCTTATGACCTCATGTCCCAGAAGACACGGATCCTGGAGCCAATAGCACTTCATATTCAAGTCTGGAAGCCTGGCAAGGGGCTTGCGTCACAGCCACCTCCCAGGCACCCAGTGTGACGCAGGAAAAGAGCAGGTGCTTGTGGTGGGAGTAGGCCGAGCTGCCGCCACGTTGCAGGCTGGCCCTCCCGAGCGGGCTTCTCAGGCCCACTGCCGCCCTGTTCCCAAGGTTCCAGTTTGTGCACTCGATTTTGAAAGCTTTCTATCTGAATTTAAATTGTGTATATTAAAATTAATTTTCCTTCCTTCCAAGGAGTAAGCTTAGCACACCAGTAAGTGTTTGGTAGCAGTTCATTGTGCTGTTTCTTTTGCTGGGCACCCTTTACAATTGCTTGTCCTACATTTGAGAATGCAGATGACTAATTTACTTTCGGTCTCTCCTTCAGCTTGGTTTTAGTATCAGGCAGTACACTCAAACCTCAGACATCTCCCCTCTGCCAGACCCTGGGAGAAGAATGGATTTCTTGGTTATACAAATCTCTTTTTATATTTTTAGGAAGAAGAAATGTTTCGACCTAATATGTTTTTCCTCCTCCTGCTGCCGCCTATCATCTTTGAGTCTGGATACTCCTTGCACAAGGTGAGACCTGACCTGCATTAGCTGCTGGTATCTGGAAGCAACTTTTCTCTCTGGGGCCAGTTCCTGAAAAGCTTGCCACTTGCTGACTGTTACCTTAACAAAGCCATTCAACTTCCTGACTCTTGGTATTTTCAGCTATCAAGAGAAAATATTGGGGCTGGGGTTGTGGCTCATTGGTAAAGTGTTTGCCTAGCATGCCTGAGGCACTGGGTTCGATTCTCAGCACCATATCCAAATAGGTTTAATAAAAAATAAAGATCCATCAACAACTAAAAAATATCTTAAAAAAAAAAAGAAAATAGTAATTCCTACTATATAGGTATGGTGAGATTTAAATGAGCTATATGTGTAATACATATATCACAGTGTTGTCATATACCTAACCTTTATCAGGTGCTTATAATATACCAATGGCTATTTTACCTCTATATTAGCACCCATCCAGGCTCCCTAGATCTGTAGTGCATTGTGATTTCTTTTGCCTGGGCTTGAATCCCAGCTCTGTCACTCAGTAACTGAGAGATCATAGGTGACTTACATGGCCTCTCTTTCAGATTCCTCTTCTCTCAAATGGAAAGATGACTCTTGCTTTGTTCTAACAATTGTAACAAAATTCAAGGAAAATTATAGCTATAAAATTACCCCTTGTTCTTCCAAACATTCTTCAAAAACAACTGCTAGTTGGGTAAATATTGAAACCCAATGCTCAGTGACAATTGTGGAGACTCAACCTTCTCTGATACTGATATTGGAAGAGATTGTTTTATTGTGAGTAGCAAAAAAATAAAATCTGGCTCTGTTGTGCATGTTCAGCTGACATAACAGTATCCTCAGGTGCATCTTCAAAAGAGCTTGGGGGTTAATTTTAGCAGTGGTGGCTCCCTGACCCTATAGTTGCCCCAGGGAAGCCAGAGAAGAGCGGACGTGATCTTAATTGGCTGCTCTGAAGTTTCAGGTAGAGTGGCCTGTTGAGCTAGTGTTTCCACGGGGGGTACTTTGCCCAGGAAGATGGTCAGACAGGGCCTTGCTAAGTTCCTGAGGCTGGCTTTGAACTTGTGATCCTCTTGCCTCAGCCTCCCAAGCCGCTGGGATTATAGGCGTGTTCCAAAGTGATTTTAAGTGGCACATGGACAGTTATTTTATATACATGTATTTATATAAAAGTATACATCTTTATTTTGTTTATTTTATGTGGTGCTGAGGATCAAACCCAGTGCCTCCCGTGTGCAAGGCAAGCGCTCTGCCACTGAGCCACAGCCCCCACCTGGACAGTTACTTTGGATTCCTCTTGTTGGACACAGACTAACACATGTTATGAGGACAGACTGTGTCCTGGGATGAGGAACATGTGCCCAGGCCTGTGGCTTCTCGCCTTGTGGGACCTTTTTCCTTTCTCAGGCCCATCTTTCCTGTCTCTCCTCTTAGTGCCCCTCTGTGGGCCTCCACCCCCAGTTGACAAGTCCCTTACCCCACTCCCCCCCTCCCTGGTCCCTCTCCTGACTGGCTGGAGGCCTGTCCTTCCCCTTGGCTTCCAGCTGCGCCTCCTGCAGATGTGTTGCCCATTCTGTGTTTGAAGACCAGCAGCACCACCCCTGCCCGGGCTCTGCTTCCTGGCCTTGCTGCTGTCTGCCCTCTGATGCCCGGTGCAACACTTTCTTGTCTTCTTTTTAAAAATCTGTTTGTATACGGCTGGATTTTTCTTCCTTTGAGTTTTCCTTAAATATAGAGGCATTTAAGTTTTAAAATAAGTTGATTCAGCTTGAAGTATTTGTAATGCTGTAGGTATTTTGTGAATGTGATAACAAACTGAAGGCTGGATGGACCAGGGCTAGCTAGACCAACCCTGGGGGAGAGGAGGGAGCCAGAGATGCAGCTCTGCTCTTGTGCTGCCTCCTACAGATTTCTTGTTAGGAGGTAGAAATTAAAACAACCCCCATCCCCAAAACCAAAACCCTCTTCCATATGGCTTTGAGATGTACATTCCATGAAAGGATGTGGGCGAATTACTGCCCCCACATTAAGTAGACTGCTGCTGCTTCTTGATATTGATAATGTTATTTCCTCATATTAATGATGTTTATATCATTACCAGGAATAATAATGACTTATTAAACTTAAAGAGATTTTTTTAAACTTTTTTTTTTAGTTGTAGATGGACACAATATCTTTTTTTTTTTTTAATATTTATTTTTTAGTTTTCGGCGGACACAACATCTTTGTTTGTATGTGGTGCTGAGGATCGAACCCGGGCCGCACGCATGCCAGGCGAGCGCGCTACCGCTTGAGCCACATCCCGAGCCCCTTCAGACATTATTAACATTAGATAATTATTTTTTAAAAAACAAGCAAAAAGAAATCAAATTCAACATCTCTTCACTCCTTCATTTTGTAAACAAATCTTAAAAGAACTGTAAGCAGATTATGAAAATATTTCAAAATAATGCTGAAGAGGGTTGGGGCTATAGCTCAGTGGTAGAGCGCTTGCCTAGCATCTTAGGCACTCGGTTCAATCCTCCGTACCACATATAAATAAATAAATGAATGTCCATCAACAACTAAAAAATACTTTTAAAAAAATAATGCTGAGGAGGGGCTGAGGTTATGGTTCAGTGGTAGAACGCTTGCCTAGCATGTGCAGGGCCCTGGGTTCCATCCTTGGTACCACATAACAGTAAATAAAAACAAAGTAAAGGTATTTGTCCATTTACAACAAAATATATATATTAAATGCTGAAGAAATTGGTCTCATTTTGAATTTAAAACATGACATTTTGAATATTAGAGTATGTACAATTTTTATTTTCTAGTTCTTTTTTGAGGGAGAGGAGACAGGCTTGTTTAAAATTTGAGGAAAATAATAGTTTTTTAGAAAAACATTCCTGTTTTTTATTTATTTGATTTTATAGTATGTCTGTTTTCTGTGGCTGGTCCCAGTGCTCACACTGACTTGAGGGAGATGGTTTGGAGGATCAAATCAAGGCCAGCCTCCGCCACTTCACAAGGTCATAAGCAACTTAGTGAGACCTTTCTCGAAATACAGAATAAAAAATGCTGGGATGTGACTCCGTGGTTAAGTATTCCTGGGTTTAATCCCTGATACCAAGGGGAAAAAAAGAAGGAGGGAGGGAGGGATGGGACAGTCTGATGTGAGCAGGAAATATCAATTCAGAGACTTGTCCACTTCCACCTTCCCCCTGAGAAGATAGGAAGTTGACTTTGAATGTTTTATTTAATATTGCTGCATTTGCTAATTTAAATTTGACTTAGAATACACATTTCAGTAAGACTGTCAGCAGCAGTGTGTAAAGTAAGCAGCTACTGGTTTTTTTTTTTTTTTTTTTTTTTGGTAGATGGGCACAATACCTTTGTTTTGTTTTATTTGTTTATTTTTATGCGGTGCTGAGAACTGAACCCAATGCCTCATGTATTCTAGGCAGGCACCCCACCACTGAGTTACACACCAACTCCTACTGGTTCTTTAAATTGTAAATGTCACATAATGTTAATTATGTCAGAGAAATAGACAAATTTGCTGTGTAGCATAGGGAAGTTCTTCTGGCAGAGTAGCTTGAATTAGGACAATTTTAATATCTAGGTTAATATTAACCAATTATATAAATCATATCAGAATTAGATCCCTGTGAACAGAGCAGGAGTGATTACTATTCTTTTTTTTTTTTTTTTTTTTTTTTTGTGTGTGTGTGTGTGTAGGTTGAACCCAGGGCCTGTGCATATGAGGCGAGCACTCTACCAACTGAGCTACATCCCCAGCCATTTACAAAGACTCACAGATAAAAGTCCTTTGTTTAGAAACAGAACTCAACATTGTGTTCTCATTGAGCTATTTTAAAACTCTTTGTGGGGGCTGGGGATGTGGCTCAAGCGGTATCGCGCTTGCCTGGCATGTGTGTGGCCTGGGTTTGATCTTCAGCACCACATACAAACAAAGATGTTGTGTCCGCCGAAAACTAAAAAATAAATATTAAAAAAAAAAAAAAAAAACCTCTTTGTGTACCCGAGGTTGATTTGCCAAACACAGACCCAGTGAGCGGTGTGGGCAGCCAGAACGAAGTTGCCAAGCAGCTTCTTCAAAGAGAGGGGCTTGGTGGTGAATCAGCATCAAGCTGAGGACACTCTTAGAGTGACTTTGACATAGCAGCTCCTGGTGTCCATACTGTGACAGTTTCTGAGCAAAAGAGGGCATCTTTGGGGCTGGGGATGTGGCTCAAATGGTAGTGCACTCACCTGGCAAGTGCGGGGCGCTAGGTTCGATCCTCAGCACCACATAAAAATAAAATGAAGATGTTGTGTCCACCGAAAACTAAAAAATAAATATTAAAACAATTCTCTCTCTCTCAAAAAAAAAAAAAAAAAGAGGACATCTTCCCCACACCAGGAGTCAAGAGTCATCAGGCCCCCTGGGCAGTGGTCCCTGGGTCGGGTCCATAGGATTCTATTCCACAGCCTCATCTCTTCATTCTGTGGAGATTTGAAAGATGTCACTTTGCTACTTGGGATGAAATATTTTCTCTTGAATGTTGGGAAGGATAGATGTAAATATATTTTATCTGTCATATTTGAGATGATACCAATAGTGAGACAAAATTATTGAAGAGAACTGGACAGTAAGATAACCTGTTATCTTGGCATTCTTTATAAGAGCGTACTCTGTGTGTGTGTGTGTGTGTGTGTGTGTGTGTTGCTGGGGATCAAACCCAGGGCCTTGTGCATGCGAGTAAGCCCTCTACCAACTGAGCTATATCCCCAGCCTAGTAGTGAACCTTTTCTTAAATTAAAATTATAATTATATGCGTTTGGACTTGCTTGATCAGACATGGGACACAGTTGGTTCCTTCAATACCAAGTGACATCTGACAGGCAATGTGTCAGTCACTGTGTGTGCAAAGCGAATGTCATTGTCCCCATTGAGCACACAGCCTTATGAGGAAGTCAGACATCGAATAGTTACATAAATAACTATAAAACTGCAGCCAGGTCAGCGCCACCAGGAGAGGGCCATTGTGCACCCAGAACATAGACTAGGAGCCCAGCTGGGAGCTGGCTGAGGCGCAGGGAAGGCTTTGCTCAGGAGGAGTGGAGGTGCACTGAGGTCTTAGGGTGATGAGAGGTAGCAGGACATCCATGTGGACCAGAACCCAGAGAACAAAGGACAGCATGGTGCCAGATGGGGTCAGAGGCTTTACCAGGGGTTGGGCGGATAGGGTTGGGATTTGCATCTGGAGCAGAGGGAGTCGGGTGCAGGTAGCACCATCAGATTTGTCTTTGGCCGAGATCGTTCTGGAAGTGCTCAGAGAGTGCTGGCGAGGGCTGTAAGAAGCTGGGGTCTGGGTGAGAGGTGATTCAAGGAGGGGGGCACAGGGAGACATGAACGGCATGGGGATGCCGACGTGGGTATGGAGGACTCCGGTTCCCAGCCTGCCATACAGGGCAGGCGATGGTTCCCTGAGAGTGGAGCTCCAGAGAGGGCCACCCTCCCCGGCAGGCCAGCCCTCTGACCGTTTCTCTGCTCTCTGCTCTTTCACACAGGGTAACTTCTTTCAGAATATTGGTTCCATCACTCTGTTTGCTGTTTTTGGTACAGCGATCTCTGCTTTCGTAGTAGGTGGAGGAATCTATTTTCTGGGTCAGGTAAGAAAAACATCTTTGAAAGCCTTTGAAGATTCAGGAGCTTGTGTGGGAGGCAGGGTGGGCACCTCCTGGGCAGGGATTGCAATTTTTAGAGGAGATCCCAACTCACAGGAGATGTGGCAGAAGCGTGGGGACATTTCCAAGGGTCCCCCAAGAAGCTGGACTTGAGTGAATCTCTCCTATTATCTCTCAAGTATTGATCTTATTTGCAAACTAATGTTGTCTTAAACATCTAAAAATGAAGCAGAGTATATACCATCATGATTTTCATTTGCTAACAGTTATCAGTTATGTTGTCTGATAGGTAGAATTGGTGTTGAATGTTGTTTTTTAATAAAAATTTACATTTTAAGTCAAATATGATTCTGAATCTGTTCGCTCAATTCTAAACAGTCCACCTGTAGAATTATGTGCTCTGGATTTTCCACCATTCTGAGCCACTTCACAGTGGCATCGGTTGGGTGTTCTGTACTTTGGTTAATTTGCATTAATTGAGACCAGGTTCCTGTAGGTTGACACCGTGTGCATCCCTGCACGCCCCCAGTTCTGTTTCTTTATTGTCAGGTTTGCCTGCCCTGGTGCTGAGAACTTAAGTTGAGGTTCAGGCACTGGGTTGCTGGCAGGTTGTGCTTGGTGTGGTGGGGTTTTCTTCTCTTGATAGCCAAAGCCCCTTCCACCTGATCCTCACCTTTAGTGCTGCCTCAAGGGCACCAGAATAAATCTGTCTGCCTTGCCACTTTCTTCATTGCTCAGCTTCTAGTATCAAAGAGGAATAAACTATAGAGAAGAAAACTGCATGCAGTTAATTGGGCTTGGAAAATGTACCCTGTGTCCATACTTCTATGGTCTGATTGATGCACACTGTATCTGAAACTTAATTTTCTTTATTTTTCAATTGGTTTGGGGACTGAAGATGAATGTCCTTATTAGTTGGTAATAAAGCACTAATGGACATTTTAATCTTCTTGGCTGTTCTCCAGGGGTTTTTTGTGTCTGTGTGTTTGTGTGTTTTATTTTACAGGCTGACGTCATCTCTAAACTCAACATGACAGACAGGTAAATCCTTCACACTGTAGCTCCATGTGACTGCTGCTCAGGCCCGGGGAATTTTCTGCACATTGCTTCCTGGGTGTGGTACTTCTCTCTTTTTCCTCTGTCCCTCCCCACTTGCTGATGGTCTCTGCTTCAGAATCTATTCTGAATTAATTTGTGTCTCTGAGGTGAATCAAAATTATAGTGAAGATCCCTTTTGAAGGTGTCTAGTCAGAGCACTGCTGGTGGAAACATTCATCTAGCCTCCGCTCTGGGTGCCCAGCTGTGGTCGGTTCACTGCCCGCCCATCCCTCCACCCTACCCCACCCCCACCCACATGCTACCCCGCTGTCCTTTTATCATTATTAAGAATTATTTTCAACGAATCACTGTCTTTTCAGTAGCCATGATGAAAGGCTGCCTTCTTGATAGATTAGGTATGGAGGGGTGGTTGAGGTAGGCCTGTCATGGGTCCATGTCACTCTGCAGCTGCCCCCGGGAATACTACCCAGTGAGCTGCTACCTAGGAGTCTATCCAGAAATCATCTCAGTCACTTAGCAAGCAGCAGCCCGGATATGGTGGCACATGCCTATAGTACCGGTCACTCAGATGGCTGAGCCGGGCATGCGAGTGTGAGGGCACAGACCCCATCTTAAAGAAAAAGAAGAGCGAGCCCCGGCAGCTGGATCTCAGGAGGTCAGACTAGCAAAGCTCCACGCTCAGTGCAGCTGGGGGTGTGTCCCCCTGCACCTTGGTTCCTGGTCTGGCCTTGTGGCTTGCTGGGGATGGCTCAAGGACTCAGTCCCAGGTCCTTAATACGAGTAGCCAGAGCTTCCAGACTGTAGCAGCAACCTAGTACCTTAGGACTAAAATTCAGAACCCTTTTCATGAGAAATGTGCCTCTGATGACGGGTCCCATCCCCTTTCCACCTCCACTGTCCCCCCTGCCTCCCGCACCTTCCTGAGACATGAGTATTGGAGCTCTTGTTGTAGGAAAGTCTTGATATGTGAAGAAGTAGCCGGAGTCACACTCCTGTTCCTTAGGAGGCAGAGTAAAGCCCATTCGGTCCCTGATTGCACAAGTGAAAAGAAATGCCCCGCACCCCACTGACATGAGGGCAGGTGTCCAACATTCAGACCTTCGACCAGATTTGGGGGCAACTGGCTAGAGACGATGCTGCTGGATTCACTTTTGTGAAATTGAATTGAAGCCATGGTTGGGGTGTTGGGGTCGGGGAGGGGAGAGAGTCGCCTACAGCCAAACGGTAGGAGCAGACCCACCCCGCCCCGGGCAGAGGGCAGGTGTCAGGTGTGGTGGAGGTGGAACGGTGGCCACTGGAGACACGTGTCTGAGGGCTGCAGTGCTTCTCAGCTCCTCCACATAATGTGGGCCAGTGGACATGTGGCCCACAATGACTAGATGTTTGAAGTTTTTGTTTTGGTGCTGGGATTGAACCCAGGGCCTCATGTACACGAAGCAAATGCTCTCCAGTGCACAACACTGGTTAAAATTACTTTAAAAACTGGCTAGATTTGTAGTTTCTAGATGTTTATAGGGAATGGTCCAGTTTTTGTCTTTATTTTGGGTACTGTGAGTTGAACCTAAGGACTTTACCACTGGGCCACATCCCCAGCGGTTTTTATTTTTTATTTTGGGACAGGGTCTCACTAAGTTGTTCAGGGCCTCGCTGAGTTGCTGAGGCTGGCTTTACCTCCTTTACCTTCCCAAGGTGCTGGGATGGCAGGTGTGCGCCACCGCACCTGACTGGAATGGTCCAGGCTTTTGTTGTTGATGTTGTTGACAGCAATGCCATTTTCCCAAAAGCACATGTAGGCCACAATGAGACCCACAGGTCACCTGATGCAGCCTGTGCAGGGCAGAAAACACAAAGATGACCCCGTGGCACAGGTGGTGGTTTAATGATGTTTCTGCTGGACAGAGAGTGCACCGTAAATAAAATCCCGGGTTTTTCACCACCTGAGGCTGTTTTCTTTAGCCTGGGCCAGCACCGGCTTTTTTCAACTTTTCAGGTGAAGGTTCGACTTTGTGGGAAATCCAAAGGGAGTTTGAATTAAAGAGACAGACTCTAATTACCTTTAAACCAGCTCAGGACGGCTTCCCTCCCGTATCCCCAGCCTCCAGCTGCCTATTATGATAGCGAGGTTTACTGAAGAGGCCAGCGAGAGAGAGAACACGCCAGGGAGTGGACTTTTACTGGGGAACAAAAAATTCTGGGGAAAATCCCATCCAATGAAGATTAAGGCAGGCAGTGTCCCAAGGTCCGGTAAGACGATTGGGTCTTCCGGGTAGTGGCCAGGCACGCCTCCACACAGACAAGCCCTTGGACCCGAGAAGGGTGGGGAAAGCTCTGGACACAAGGATGTGTCTAAGCGCCTCTCGCCCAGCCGGGGAGGTGACTCGGATCACGTGCAAGGATGGCCTCCCACAGTTTTCTTCAGTTGAACTTGTAGCTCCTGGCCCCTGAAGACTGGGGCCTGTTGCTGTCCCTCACCAGTGCCCCTGTGGATCCTCGCTGTCTGCCTCAGGATGTCAGAGCTACTGTGCAGCTCAAGCTAGTGCAAACTGGTTTAGGTAAAAGAAAAAAAAGATGAAGAAGTTTGTTGAGGAAGAAGTTTACAGGACCGAAGTGTCCCCAAGGTGATGGCATCTAGCATGACACCCTATGGGGACTACCATGTGGGAGTATTGCCTGTCTGTCACTGCACCTTAGCCCAGACCCCCTCAGGTTGGCCTGCTCCTTGGTGAGCTCGCCCTGGGTGGCAGTGCCAATGGCTCCAGGCTCACGTCGCCTCTTGTCAGCATCCCTGCCAAAAGGGCTGCACCGAAGACCTCCAGTGATATTCTCATTGTCCAAGCTTGGGCCTCGTGACACATCTAGAGCCGCGTGGTGACAGGAGTGGGGAGTAGGAGGTGTGGCTGTAACCAAGACAGGTGTGGATGCTGAGTTGTGCACCCACGTGCTCTGCTCAGGAGTGGAAAGAGGGCCAGCCAAGCCAGCACGTGGGTGCAGCACGCAGCCCCACCCAGCCCCCAGCTGGCACCCATGCTCCCTGCCCTGTTGCTGGGGCCAGGTGAGAGCAAAGGCCAGGCTGGGCTGCTGTGCAGGGCTGCAGTCTGGGCCTCCCACTCGCAGGTGGTTGGGAGTCGCCTTTCTTCACGCCCCTCCGTGCCCTGCCTGCCTTCCTTCCACAGGTGTTAGGGCTGTGCCTTTCATGGATTCTGGTGACAGCAAAGGTGACAGGCAGCCTACACGCAGGTCGGGTGGAGTCAGAGCTGAGCCTGAGCAGGGACTGCTCTCTGGGGTCTGTCCTCAGCGTGTGCTGCAGGCTCTCCTGCCTGGATTCACACTCCATAGGGTGCTGCCGTGGGAACCCCAGGGCCAGAGAGAGAGTGACAGGGCAGCCAGGTGGGACCCCCGTGGGCAGTCTTGGTGATGGCAGAGTCCATGAAGTGCACTCTCTGCCCCAAGCTGAGTGTCGCTCCTTTCTCTCCCAGATTGCAAGCTTGGTGACAGTCTGGCTTGCGACTCTGCTGCAGGGCCAGACCCCCAGGCTTTCTGTTTTGTCGAGAGAAGCTGTCGCAGCAGGGAGGGGACTGAAGCACTGTAGGCCAGTGCACATACCCAGGAGGAGCCAAGGAGGGCCATCAGTAAATCATCCCGACTCCCTAGGGCCCACAGGACCCCAGGGGACCTGGGCCACCTCCCTCACAAGCTTCTAGGTTTCCTGCCCTGGCCACCTACCCTGCCATGAGCACCTTCCTCTGCTTTCCACCTGCCAGGCTTGCTCCCACCTTGGGGATACTTGATGTACCTCTGCCCCCATCACCTTGGCCTGCCCGCTGCTTCTTGTCATGTAGGTGCTTGCGCACACGGGGTCAGGCCTTTCCTGACCCCTCAATCAGATGGGCTCTCACACACCTCTCTCTGCCAGGCTACTGGTTCTCACATCATCCCATTTACTTCCTGTGTCACACTTTGCCATTTTCTAAATTTGGCTGAGTCTCTGGCTAGTGCCATAGCCACCCAGGTGGGTGGAGCAGGACGGAGATAGTTAGTCTGTGTTCGAGTCTGATCCTGCCCCTCGTTAGCTGACTGACTGGGTGAGCCCCTCACCCCGTCTGCCATCGGGCCTTTGTAGCCAGGCAGCAGCCGGGCTGTCTCCACACCCTCTGCGTGGATTGCTGAGGAACTGTGTGCAGAGTGCCTGGGACAGGGCTGGGACCCAGTGTGTGCCACAGGTAGCTTGCTGTTGTGATAATCCTCAGTGGCTGGAACAATTCAAGTGGTGACTTGGTAGAGGCAATTCCGTCATCCTGGGCACTGTCTGTGAGTCCCAAGGGCCTGGTTGGGAGCCAGCACGGCGTTGGTGTCTGCCACCCAAGCCACCCCCTGGAGTTGCCCTGGCTTTTTCTTTGTTTTTGTACTACGGATTGAACCCAGGTGCACTGAACCACTGAGCCACATCCCAGCTCTTTTTATATTTTATTTAGAGACGTCTCACTGAGTTGCTTAGGGCCTCGCTAGGTTGATGAGGCTGGCCTTGAACTCGCAGTCCTCCTGCCTTGGCTTCCCGAGCCTCTAGAATTACAGGCATGTGCCACCATGCCCAGCTTGGCACTTTCTTAGATATTGCCATCTGGAGACTGGCATTGGTCACAGGTGGCACTAAGACCACCTAGTTGCATGGGGCAGAGGTCAGGCCCAGCAGGTTGTGAACCACTGGGCTTCAACTGCTCTGACTGGGAGGGCTGGTTGGTGTGTGATGTATGTAGGCAAAAGTCTTCCATCCAGCATTGGGCAAAAAAAAGTCACAGTGCTGCTGGGGACACCAGACCATTTCTAGCAGCTCCTTCTGGAATGGGTCTGACTTGCTCCACCTGCAAGGCCAGTCAGCAGATATAGTGGGCCAACACCAGCTCCTGTCAGTACTCTAGCTGGTGCACGTCACATTGTGTGAAACAGGCACTGACTGCGACGCTTTGCTGTGTGGACCAAGCACATGGTGTTCAAGATTTCCTTCTCTCTTCTTCCAGTTTCGCATTTGGCTCCCTAATATCTGCTGTTGACCCCGTGGCCACTATTGCTATTTTCAATGCTCTGCATGTGGACCCCGTGCTCAACATGCTGGTGTTTGGAGAAAGTATTCTCAACGATGCCGTCTCCATTGTCTTGACCAAGTAAGTGTGGGTGTCATAGAACCAACAGTCCCAGGAACAAATTGTCAGAAGAGGACTGGGGCATGGCTCAGTGGTAGAGCACTCACTTGACCTAGCATTCTCCAGGGCCTGGGTTCATCCCCAGCATCAAAAAAAATGTTTCAGCCAGGTGCAGTGGCACATGCCTGTTTTCCCAGCAGCTTGGCAAGCTGAGACAGGGGGATTGCAAGTTCAAGGCCAGCCTCAGCCATTTAGTGAGACCCTAAGCAACTTAGTGAGACCTTGTTTCAGAATAAAAAAAAAAAAAGGACTGGGCATGTGGCTCCATGTTTAGGTGCCTCTGGGTTAAATCTCCAGTACCAAAAAAAGAAGAAAAAAAAAAAGTTTCAGACATTTCCACGCAGCTACCTGTACAGTGGCTTGTTCTCTGGGTAGTTGGCTCACCTGCTGTGGTTCTCTATCTTTGTGCACTGACAAGCTATTCTGTGCCATAGGAATATATCAGGACCAGGAGTGACTAGGAGAATCCAGTCTTCTGAACTGTTAGTGGTGGTTTCTGGGCTCAACTTGTTAGCATCACTGAGGGTGCTTATTCAATGTGACATTTTCAGGTCCCACCTCAGTCTCTGATTCAGTTGGTTTCAAAACTATTATTATTTTTTGTAGGCGGGGCAGGGGGGGTTCGGGGGAATGAACCCAGGGTCTCACGTTACTAGGCAAGCACTCTCTCGGTCAACCATCGCCCCAGCTCTTTTTAAAAACTTTATTTTGAGACAACGTCTTGCCAAGTTGCCCAGGCTGGCCTTGAACTTGCAGTCCTCCTGTCTCGACCTGAGTAGCTGGGGTGATAGGTGTGTCGCTGTGCTGGCCCCTCTTGGCTTTTTGTGTGTTCTCCAGGCCGTGGGAAGCATTGTTGGAGACAGAAGCAACAGACAGGACCAGGGTGCAGGCTCAATGGCAAAGTGCTGGCTTTGCATGCCTGAGGCCTTGGGTTCCATCCTGGGAGCAAAAAAAAAAAAGGTGATCAAGAGGCCCTCCTCTCCTGCTTCCCAGCTGTTGCACAAGGCCCTCGTTTTCATAGCCACAGGCGTCCCACCTGCAGGTGCTGTGGTGGAAAACTACAGATCGTTTTCAAACATTCACTGGTATTACTGCCCTGGTTGATAGGATCTGAGAAATTAAAGATGAATCATAAGATGTCAGAATTCGTATGTTGGAATAATATGGTATTCTGTAGTAGAGAGAGCCCATTTTCTTCCCTTTGTTGCTGGGGACAGAACTGGGGGGTTTCACACATGCTAAGCCAGTGCTCTACCACTGAGCCGTACATCCAGCCCCAACCCAGGTTTTGAAGTCAAGCTGACCTGGGTTCAAGTCCTGTCGATGCCCTCAGCTGTAAGACTCTGGACCAGCTCCTATACCTTTTTTTTTTTTTCCATTTATTTTGGCAAAAACTTATATAGTTTTATTAGGAAATTATCATATAGCATGCCGTAAGACCTTTCAAAAAAATCTATGGCACTGGGTGCCTGTACTGGAAGTTGCCTATAATTCTGGCTACTTATAGAAGTCAAGGCAGGAGGATCACAAGTTCCAAGCCAACCTAGGCAACTTAGTGAGACTCTGTCTCAAAATAAAAAGGGAGGGGGTGTAACTCAGTGGTAGAGCACTTGCCTGGCATATGTGTGGTTCTGGGTTCCATCCCCAGAATCAAAAACAAAAACAAATCTGGTGGCAATGAGGGTTTTTTTTTTTTTTTTTTTTTGGTGGAGGGTTACCAGGGATTAAACCCACAGTTACTAAACCACTGAGCCACATCCCCAGCCCTTTTTAAAATTATTATTATTTTGAGACAAGGTCTTAAGTTGCTTAGGGCCTTGCTAAGTTGCTGAGGCTGGCCTTGAACTTATGGTCCTCCTGCCTCATCCTTTCAACTTCTGGGATCACAGGCATATGCCACCGTGCCTGGCACAGTGTGTTCTTCTTATCTAAGGTCTATTCTGAAAGCCGCTTAGCTCTCTGGTTTTTACTTTTATCTCATATCCTGGTAACATATTGAAAATTTGTGATAAGGAATTTTGCCTGATTTGGAGTTAACATCATGAGTTATTTTTATACATTAGGAGCTAAACTGAATTGTCTCATCTCTCATTTATTTAAAGAGAAAAGATCTGTCACGACCTTTTCTGAGCTTTTCCAGGTCTCTGCTGCAAAAAGGCCAGAGATTAGGAGATATTTTGAAAAACAAGAGCTGATGACGTCATTGTATATAGACAAAGGTTCTTTCTTAGTGGAAGTGCCTCTGAGGCCAAGATCGCCTGTGGTGACTGTTTCCACAGTGGGATCTCTGGACTGCATGCATCCAGTTCCCAGACTTCCTTCCCTCTGCCATTGGTAACACTGGGGCGACCCTGCCCCTCAGAAGTCAGCCTCCTTGACTACAGATATGCTAATGGCTGATTGTCAGTCCTCTGCCTCTGGTGCCAGATGCTGCTCAGAAACAAGTTGGACTTGATGACTTTGATGCATGCGGGTGAAAGCTACCCTAGAGAAGTGAACAAGAGGGTCAGACGTGGTAGCCTCCACCTTATATACAAAAATTAAAACCCAGCAGGGCAGTGGCACACCCCATAGTCCCATTGCCTTGGAAGGCTGAGGCAAGAGGATTGAAGTTGGAAGCTAGCCTCAGCAACTTAGCAAGACCCTGTTTCAAAATAAAGTTTCTGCAAAGGGTAGGGATGTGGCTAAGTGGCAGAGCACTCTCCTAGCCATGCTCGAGGCCCTGGATTCAACCCCCAGTACTGAAAAAAGAAAGAAAGAAGAAAAAATTGCTAAGCCAGGAAGAACCCAGATCCTGCTTTCATTTTTCTGGCATTCAGAGCCTGCTGGCCAGCCCTGGGTCTGCTCTAAATCCTAGTTGGTCTTTGGGTCTTCACCTCCTCTGTACAAAAAGAAAATAGCCAGAGACACCTGTGTTCTGGCAGGCAGTGGAGAAGGGTGGGGCTGCAGGCCTGGGGTCAAGTATGTGATCCCCAGGTCCCTGTGGGGAACTGCAGATGACCTTGACCTTCCAAAGCACTTTTCTAGGGAGAGCCCTCGTTGGTCTCACATTCGTGAGCTAGTAACCTTTTGGAAAAGACAGGAGGTGGGGGAGATCGAACATTCAGGAAAGTGGAAAACTGGTGTGAAGAAAGGTTTCTTTTTTGCAAGGCGTTTCAGAATCCTTGTTATGTTATTCTCTGCTGAGTCTCCACAAAGGTTTCCTGGGTGACTTGACCAAGCTGCCCTGTTGACAGAGATTTTTCTACTTTCAAATGAAATGCTGATCAATGAAGCTGTGTGGTGCTGCTAGAGATTCTTGATTTTATTTACTGATTCAACAAAAATGTACTGAGTGTCTTTCATGTGCTGGATTGTGCTTTCGATAGACCTGGGACAGGTGGCAGTGATCCAGGTGGACAGAGGCTTGGTCTTCATGGAAATGATTCCCTGCAGTTTTCACATGGTGTGAAGCAGTCAGGCACCACGAAGGCCAGTATCTGGGCTGGCTTGTGTTACGGGGTCAGTGTAGGTGTCCTGGGGGAGTGGCACTGACACTGGGTGCTTAGGGTCCATTGGAGGATTTCACTTGGGGCCAGGGAAGATGAAAGGTGACCTCCAGGGAGGTACCAGTGACAGTGTGGCCCACCTGAATGGGAGATGAGTTCAGGTAGGTGAGGGAGCTAGGTCATACCTGGAAGACGGGGCTTCCTCCTGGAAGTGTCAGGACACCACCGAGGAGTTTGGAGCTGGCTGCTGGCCTGCTTGCGTGCATTGCTCAGGCTGCGGAACTCAGCCCCAGCTGGCCTGCAGGAAGAGGAGGATGTCTATAGAAACTGGGGAGGAGTGACTCTGGGAGGGAGGAGGCGGGGAGGAGAGAGGTGTGTGGAGTCCTGAGAGTCCTGGGACTGGGTGGAGGAGGATGTGTAATGAATAGAATGGCTGCGTGGGAATGGTGTCCTCCCTTTGAGGACAAAACCCACAATTGAATTTTATGGCTTCTGACATTTTATTTAGTCTTTGTTAGAGCGAAAGGAGAGTTCTCTCAATTCTTCTTCCTTAATGTCTCCTCAATCCTCCCCTGCCCTGCACCTCTGACATTTCTTCTCTGGGCGGCTCCATTCCAGCCTGGCTTTTTGCCATGGTCTCAGTTTCAGGGTCACTCCAGGTGTCTGGTATGAAAACCTGTCCCATCATCAGGGTGAAACACTACCGCCTGCTGCTCTCCTGTCTCCTGCCACTGCCCCCCACCTGTCCCCACATCCTGCTCCTGTGTTGTAGCCGCACTGATCCAAGCACTTGAGTGCGTCCACCGCTTGGGCTCCCTGCCTCCCCACCCCCGAAGGGTCCTTCCTGATCTCTTCTTTATCCTGTATCTAAATCCAGCCCATGTTTGTTCTAGAAGCTTCCTTGACTCCCCCCTTAGTGGGAGTTCCATGCAGTGTTTCTGCAGCCCTCCCTGCCCCCCCCCCATTCATTTCCATCTTGGGTTTCTCCTTCAGACTAGGGAGAGCTCCTGGGGGGCTGGACGCTGCTCTTATCACCCAGTCCCCAGAAACTAATGCAGCATCCCAGGCACAGTGGGGGAACGGAGATACACATCTGACTGGCTGAACAGTGTAATAATGAAGGAATAAGGAAATAAGCAAGAAATAAGTTTTAAGTTCTGAATTTCTAAGAACATTGTCTATAATATTTTAACTTTTTATTGATTTTTATTCTTTGAGGTACTGAGGATTGAACCCAGGGCGCTATGTCTCTGGGCTACATCCTCAGCCTTTTAGCCCTTTTGATTTTATTTTTGAGACAGGGTCTTGCTAAGTTGTCAGGGCTGGCCTCAAATTTATCATCCTCTTGCCTCAGCCTCCTGAATCGTAGGGATTGCAGGCATGTGCCACTGCGCCTGATATAACATTTTGACTTCGTTATATTATCCTTTATTTCCTAGCACAGCTGAAGGTTTAACAAGAAAGAATACGTCAGATGTCAGTGGGTGGCAAACATTTTTACAAGCCCTTGGCTACTTCCTCAAAATGTTCTTTGGCTCTGCGGCACTCGGCACCCTCACTGGCTTGATTTCTGCATTAATATCCTTTTCGTGTGATCCAGGGTGGGGTCCTCTAGTGGCACCCATCGGGAGCTGGCTCTTCCTGCTCCTTCAGGGCCAGTTTAATCAAGATTTTGTTTAAAGGAAGCCATGTTTAGTTTTGGTTTGAGAAATACTCTAGACTCAAGGAATTAAAATTTAACATGAAATTTAGGATATCACTTTCCAAGCTTAACAACACTGTGCACTGTGGAGTCATCAGGTGTGACTGGGGACGTTCTCAGCTGTCAGGATAATGACTGCATTCCGATGACTTTCCTTGTCGGCTGTCTCAGTTCGCACATACAGAATATTGGAAATGGGATTTCTTCAAAAATGTGGAATTGACAGAATCTTTTCCCAGCTGAACGTGATTGGAAAGGGCCTTTGGAAGTGAGCTCCGTCTAAGTTATTTGCACTGATTTTGTTTCTAAACAACCGTGAGCTTTTCCAGCCAGAGCAGAAAAGAGGCCTGTCAAGGCAAAGGCGCCTCAACTGCCGTTGAAAATCCATCATGTTTAAAATATGAGCCGGCACCAGACCATTCTGCACGCGCCGAGCCGCCAGCCGGGACGTGGCCACCTGGCTCTCTTCCATAAGCAGTTTGTTTCACAGATGGCCGGAAGACTCTTGCCTGGAGTGTTTTCCTGCCACTCTGTTGAATTTTCCCATCGGCTCCTCTGTCCAGAAGCCTAAAGCTCTCTCGAGGCGGCTGACAGCTTTTCATATTGAACCAATAAACAGAATGGGCAGGAGAGCGAGCCTTCCTGTTCAGCGTTTCCTGCACGCTGAGCTTCCTCTCTGCAGAGCATGTGCGTAGTGAGGCAGAGTAGAGTGATGGGTCCCTGAGCTCCGTCTAGGCCCGTGAGCAGCATGTGAGCGGGCACCGACTCCCTCCTTATACAAGGCTGTGGTATAGAAGTGTGCAGGGACGGGGACACAGTCCTTCAACTGGGCCTTGAGTCCCTGGAAACAGGTACCCATTGACGGTCCCATCTGAGTCCTCCTAGGAGGTGGGAAGGTGGCCTAGCATTGTGGCCTGTCCCTCTGTGTGTCTGCAGCCCAGACTGTCCTGTTACCCCACATCTCCAGTCCTCTAAGTCAGCATTTTTTAAGTAGTTGATTTGAATTTTCCCCTATTTATCATAGGAATTTGTACTTTTTAGTGTTTTATTAGTTTCCCTTTTTTATAACAATAAATTTTCCACAAGCCCCGTGGAGTAGGAAGCATCCATGATGATTAGTTTGCCGTTGGAACCTTGGGATGCTCAAGTCTTTCATTTCCTTTGTCTACTTCATACATTTGGAAAGCTGCAGTTCTGTGACTTCTCTATCAAGAGCCCCTGGTTCGTTTTCCTTGACGATTGCCATTTACGTGCTAAAGCATATTGACTTGAGGAAAACGCCTTCCTTGGAGTTTGGCATGATGATCATTTTTGCCTATCTGCCTTATGGGCTTGCAGAAGGAATCTCACTCTCAGGTAAGTGACAGACCCTAGAAATACTGTGGCAATGGCTTATTGTCCTTCTGTCGAAAAGTTTTTCACTTGGGTCATTCTCCATCGTGGGAGGCAGAGTCAACTCAGAAGAGATTAAGGCTTAAAGAGGGTTCATGGTGCCTAGAGATTCAGGCCTGACCATCTCCAGGGCGCAGCCATTTGGGGTCTTTACCCACCTTCTTTCATTTAACCGTCAGTCTTAGGAGGCTCCCTTGTAGGTAGGTGGCTGTGGGAGGGAGGTACTGTGAGGATCCCTGTTATACTGATGAGAAACCCAAAGTTGAGAGAAATGAAATATGTTGCCTGAGGTCAGAGCTGAAATTGGCAGAGTAGTGATGCATAGTAGTTGACTTGATTCAAGAACCGATGCTTCTCTAACCTGGTCCCTCCGAAACAGGTCATCGTGAAACCACATACCAAGGGCTGTTCAGAGGCACAAGAAAGTGTGACGTGATGCTATCACGGTGGGGTGTGTTGGACACAGTGAACCTGTATTCAGGGTTCCATTTTGTTTTGTCTTTTGAGATGAGGTCTCACTGTGTTCCCCAGACTGGCTTTGAAGGCAGCATCCTGCCTCAGCTTCCCAGGTAGCTAGGACTACAGGTGTGCTCCACCATGCCCCAGCTTGGGTTCACTTTTTAAATTTTCCACAAGCCCCATGGAAAATTTAGGCTGTAGGAAGTTAAGTCATCAGCTCAGAGATGCACAGGCAGTAAGTGGTGGCCCTGAGCTTCAAATGCCCTTTCCCTGCACCCAGGGGAGGAGGGTGTGTGGTTTCCAGCAGCGGAGATGGCTCTGGGATGGGATTCTAGAAACCCTGCTCCCAGCTGCAGGAGGGGTGGCCCCTCACAGGTAGTGCTGCTGGAGCCCTCCCCCTCCGCGTCAGGCATGCAGGACAGGCCTTCCTCCCAGCGGGAGGTGAGCCTGTGTCCACTGCAAGTTTTTAGGGCGCTGGCCTAGAGATGGAGGCTGTGCTGGCACCTGGAGCCTGGCTCCCGCTTCCCCTGTGTGAGGGGCAGCTGAACAGCGGAGAGGGAGGGTCTGCCTTGACCCCACCCTGCAGGCCCTTCAGAGGCCTTGTTCTGGAAGGAGCCCCCGCTGTGGGGCTGGCTAGCTCTCTGCCACAGGGAGGCTTTTCTTTTCTGTTCTTTCTTGTTTTATTTTAAATCTTGGTCCAGGTTTGACTTACCTGTAGTAAACGTACCTATTCCAAGTATACATTCTGTGGACGTTGACAACCATATGCAGTCACATTGCCACCACAGTCAACATGTGGAACGTTCCATCTCCCCACAGGGTTCCCTTATGCCCTCAGGCTGTCCAAGCCTGGCACGCCCTGACCTTCTGGTCACTGGAGCTTCGCCTTCTCCACATGGTGGTGAAGGAGCTCGCGTGTCTTTGGTCTCAGGACTCATTTCCTTCACTTGTGCTGTTCCTGAGAAGCGTGTGTGTTCTCGCACATCAGTAACTTAAACGCTTCTTGGCACCACAGTCTGCTGGCCATTCACCATTTGAAGGACATTTGGGTCTTTCTACCTTTGGGACTATGAACGTGTGTGCATGTTTCTATTTATCTTGGGTTAAATATCAGGAGGAAGGTTGTGGGTCATATGGTAAATATATATTTTGCTTTGTTAGAAACCTGCCAAGTGTTTTTCAAAGTGCTGTATCATGTCACATTCCCACCAGGATGTGACAGAGTCCAGTTCCTTGATGACTCTTATTTTAATTTTTAAAAAGCTTATCCCTCCCAGAAGAGGCATGGCCATTGGGTTTGGATGTGCCTGGGTGTGGTTCTCTGGGGATTCCTCTGGGAAGCCCCCTGGAGATTTTTGGGTTGATAGTTTAGGTGTGTATAGCCTTCATTGAACTGGTGATTTCTTTACCTATTTCTTCAGGTTTTCTTTTCTTCTCTCTGCCCCCCTGTTGGGACTCCAGTTATGACTGCATGTGTGCTACTGGCCCACAGTGTGCTCTTTCTTTTTTTTTAGTCATACACATATTTAAATATAGAGATACTATTTATATATACACACACATATACATATGTGATTTATTTTAGTTAGTTTCTACCAGTGTGTCTTCAAGTTCACTGATCTTTTCTTCTGCCATTTGGGTATCTGTTAATCCTATTAGTGTATTTCTCATTTTAGCTATTGTGTTGTTTCATCTACAGAAGTTCTCTGTTTTTTGGGTTTTTTTGTTTTTTGTTTTTTGTTTTTTGGTAGATGGACACAATACCTTTCTTTCTTTCCTTTCTTCTAAGAATTTTAACCCAGTGCCTCACACATGCCAGGCAAGCGCTCTGCCACTGAGCCATGACCCCACCCCGTTTTTATATCTTTCATTTTTCTCTTTATCATGCTCATTTTTTTCTTTGTATTCTTGAGCATATTTATAATAGGTATTTTAAAGTGCTTCTTTACCTATTCCTTCAATCTTTGTCAATTCTTGGTCTGTCCTATCAATTTGTTTGTGTTTTAGGTCATGTTTCCTATTCTTTGCTTGCTATTAATTTTCTATTGGAGGCTGGTCATTATGAACTCAAGTTTAAGATTTTACTGTCTTTTTTAATATGGTTCTGGACTTTTTTTTGTGTGTGTGGTGCTGGGGATTGAACCCACACTGGGCTACACCCCCAGTCCTTTTGATTTTGAGGCAGGGTTGCCGGGGCTGGCTTTGAACTTGGAATCCTTCTGCTTCAGCCTCCTGAGTCTCTGGAATCACATGCGCCATCACCCCTGGCCTGAGGTCGACTTAAACTTTGTTAGGACAGTTCCAGAGAAGCAGTGCTAACTAAAGCAATGCCCTGCTCAGTCCTTGGCCTCTTGTCCCATGTGCTGCGACATCACTGCTCCAGCTGGGGGGAGGCAGGCGGCTCTCAGGCCTCAGGGATTGCTGGGCCAACCTCTCAGTGGTCCTATCCTCAGCCTCTCGGAATCTCATCCTGGCAAAGGCTTCAAGGGATCTTATGGAGAATCGCAGAGCTTTTTCCGTGCAGCTACCCCAGCTCCTCCCAGAACCTGCCGGGCTCTCTGTGGTGTTGCCCTCCTGGAGTCTCAGCTGGGAGCTCTTCTTAAGTTCAGCCACCACACCTGGCTCCATCCTGGCTGTTAAGTACCTGGCACAGGGAGAACCCGCGGTGAGGTTTTTAATGGTGTGGGTGACCTGCCTTTTCCCTCTGCAGTCCATTGCCTGGAGGAGGAAGCAGGGGGAAGGGCTGCTTTCCCTGGGGGCCTCTTGTGACCTCAGGGCTTCGTTGTCAGTCCTGAGTCAGTTCACCTGGATAACTGCTCCCGGCATCTGCCAACTTTGTCTTTTCTGAACTTTGGTGCTTACTGAACATTACCTGTGAGTCACGGCCCGCCTACCTGTTTTTACCTCTGGTTCTCAAAATTATCCCCCTGCCATTAGCACTGAGTCCCTGTTGGGAAGATACATTTTATGCATCCATTTAGGGAGTGTTTTTCGTATCTTCTGTCCAAGAGGCACTGTTTTCTGATCAGAGGGAAGTGACTCCTCTGGAGTTGCTGCAGGTGCCGCTGGACAGCCGCGCAGGCCAGGAACATACGGTCAGCCCTGGGAAGGGCACTCCTCTCCTGCACTTTGCCTTTGGGCTGTGGTAATCCGGGTCTTCAGAGAGAGGTTGGATGGAGCCTCCAGATCACTCTGTGAGAGTGAAGATTCTCACTATGGAATACCGTGCAGCCACTTACTAAGTGTTGGTCCGTTTGCACTGCCGTGAAAGGAACTCCAAGAAGCATTGTGTCTCTGCTGAGTTTGGTTTTGGTACTAGAGATTTAACTCGAGCACTAGCTGAGGCTGCCTTTGAACTTGCCATCCTCCTGCTTCATCCTCCCCAGTCCCTGGGATTGCAGGCGTGTGCTACTATGCGCGGCCTGCCGGCTACCTACTTTCTAAAATGATTTTGCCCTTCTTCTTCTTCTTCTTCTTTTGTACTGGGAATTGTACTCAAGGACACCACTGAGCCACATCTCCAGCCCTTTTTATTTTTCATTTTGAGACAGGGTCTCACTAAGTTGCTTAGGACCTCGCTAAGTTGCTGAGGTTGGCCTTGAACCTGTGATTCTCCTGCCTCAGCCTCGTGAGCCACAGCACCTAGCTGATTTTGCCTTCTTAAAGAGGTAAATGTGGGCCTGGGGCTCAGCGGTAGAGCACTCGCCTGGCACGTGTAAGGCGCTGGGTTGGAGCCTCGGCACCACATAAAAATAAATAAATTAAATAAAGGTTTAAATAAAGAGGTAAATGTGTCAGCATTTCTTCCTTATAGTATTTTTTTAAATAGCCATGGCATTTAGCTCACTTAAGAGTGAGCTTAGGTCACCCTGTTCCCCTGTGGTGTTTTTCCAGCCTGTACAGGTGGCAGCTGCAGTGGATGGGGTGGTCTGGGTGGTGGTGGGACCCCTTTGCATAGGGAGGGATCATGGGGAGACACCTGAGCTGTCCCTTGGGCTCTGGAGCCCACTGCTTGCCCAGGCTCTTTCCTGTAGCCCAGAACTTGACATATGCCCCACCTGGCACTGCCCTGGGTGGGGCACTCTTCCCCGTGGGTGGCCCGTTTCCAACATCAGTAGGTCAAGCACACAGGCACAGCATCGTCCGGACTCACTTCCCAGACTGGGTTTGTTTATTCATACAGGGAATTTTTAAAGATTTGAATCAGTTGCTGTCTTTAAAAGTTGGGAAATACCCATGAGCAGCAGATTCCCGGCATCTAAAAACACAAGCAGGAAGATTGGCCGCCAACCCTCCAGGCTGCAAGCCCTTGGTAAAGAGGCCGTGTCTGCTGGGCGTGATGGTGCAGGCCTGTAATCTCAGAAACTCAGGAGGCTGAGGCAGAAGGATTGCAGGTTTGAAACCAACCTCAGCAACTTAGCAAGGCCCAACGTAATCAGTGAGATCCTGTCTCAAAACATTAAAGGAGGGGGGCTGGGGATGTGGTGGTTCGGTTTTTAAGTGACCCTGGGTTCAATCCTCAGTACCAGAAAAACGAGTGTCTTCTATGACCACCCTCCCACTGTCCACCTCCATCCTGCTGATTTTTTTGTTTGTTTGTTTGTTTTAGGGGGACACAGTATCTTTATTTTTATGTGATGCTGAGGATCCCCAGTGCCTCATGCATGCTAGGCGAGCGCTCTACCACTGAGCCCCAGCCCCAGCCCCGTTGCTGACTCTTGATTCTTTGTGTTGTTACTGGGGATTGAACCCAGGGGTGCTTACCACTGAGCCACATCCTCGGTTCTTTTTACTATTTATTTTGAGATAGTCTCACTAAATTGCGTAGGCCTCGGTAAATTGCTGAAGCTGGCCTCAAACTTGCGAACCTCTTACCTCAGCCTTCTGAGTTGGTGGGATTAGAGGCCAGCTTATTCTTTGTATTTTCAGTGTGGCCCCCAAGGAGTGTTGAGTAAACAGGCCAGCTAAACCCTTCTTTGCTGAGCCTGTCCCCCTGAAGAACTCTGGGGCAGGATGGTCCTGGGGGTAAGAGTCTCACAGGCTCCCATATGGGCTCTCCTAGTGGTCAGTCCCGAGAGAACTTCCACACTCTGTGTCAGATCCGACTGCCCGCAGCCCTGGCTTTCTAGAATAGGTATTTGATGTCCACTCCTATGGCCATGACAGCTTCTCTCTGTGGGTGGAATGACGATCGGGTGTGAGGTAACTTGTGTGGTGACTTCAGCGTGGCTCGGGCTCCTCTGGGTTGACTTTTACATCAAAGTTAGAAGCACAAAGGCCTGACCTTGCCAGAGGATTGATGGTCCCTCTTGAAGTCAGCTGGTGGAAAGAGCCCTTTCACAGCTGGGAGCCAGGATCTGTGAGCATGGGACTGAGTGGCCTAGCGGCTGCCAGCGCCACACCCGGCGCCCAGTCTTCCAGCTGAGGTGGGGTCCAGGCCACCCAGTGCTCCCTCCCTGCCCTTTCCGCATGGTGTTGCCTTTGTCTGGTTGATTTGCTCTTGTGCTGGGGTTGGACCCAGGGCCTTGCACCTGCGGAGCCTGAGCTCCACCACTGAGCCACACCCCCAGCCCATCCTTTGATGGCCTCAGTGCCTGCATTTTCTGCAAGATCAGAGGGCTCAGCTGTCCCTCCCAGTATGGAACAGGAACTTAGGGAGAGGAAAAGTGAACTTGAGAAGAACTGAAGTTTCTGTTGTGCTCACTCTTGGTCCAGTAGAGCCATGATTCAGAGGGACGCTGAGCTCCAGAGAGCTCCTGCCCCGACAGGGCAGGAGAGGAGATCTGCCCCTGGGCTTCCTCCCCAGCTCTCAGGCCTCGTGGGAAGTGTTTCTGGGCTCTTCCTGGAGGGAAGTGAAAGAGCAAAGGAATTTGCTGTTTCCTTAGAGAATGAGGGGACAAAGCGTCCCAGCCCCTCTCACGCAGCCAGCAGGCACCTGGGCCATTCAGAGAGCAGGACTTGCCAGGTTTCTTTAGGGTGTTGTGTGTACACTCAGCTCAGCAGCTGCAACGTCTGCGACACAATCCTGTCGTCTTCACCCCTGTGTAAATGGAAAGGTAGTTTAACTGACTTCTGCTTCTCCAGAAGGGCACAAGTTGAGTTAAAACTTTTGTTATAAAATATGACGTGCAGTTCGTGTGTTTTGGCATCTTGTTTGATGGCTTTTTTAAATGCCAGCATCCTTACTTGACATGGAGACCCCTTTCCTGCTACCTGGGCAGGGGTGAGCTGAGAAGAGTCAGAGCCAAGTGCCTAGGAGGGGTGCAGGGCAGGGGACAGACGGGGCACTCGGAGCCTGAGCAGCACAGGCCTTGGGCCGTGGAGAGCTTTGAAGAAGAGACGCGTCACCTGCTTAAATACACATTTTCCTCCTTACATGATGGCTGTGGGGAATTCAAAATTAAGGGGAAGTAGTTAAAAAGCCCCCGAAGCTGCCCCTTCTCCTTGTCCTCAGGCTGTCTGCCGCCCGAGCTTCACCTGCCCCACAGCCCTGGATGGCCGTGACGGTGCACACGTGGTGGGGCCGGGACAGTGGGCACTTTGCGTGGCCCGTGTTCCCTTGCCCCCTAACAGTTCACGGGTGGGTACTGTCAAGCAGACAGGCTGCGGGAAGGGAAGGAGCTCAGCCAGCGCCAGTGCCGAAGAGCCAGGGCTCGGCTCCCCGCAGCCCTGGGAGGCCTCGGGATTATTTTATTTTCCTTTTTCCTAAAGCCCTCGTGCCCCGGGCTCTGGGGCTTGCAGGAGTGTGTCGCCTGACATGGGCGCCCCGTGGCAGGTGCTGTTCTGCCGCTCATGTCTGTGCCCCTCTGTCCCTGTCCAGGCATCATGGCCATCCTGTTCTCGGGCATCGTGATGTCACACTACACGCACCATAACCTCTCCCCGGTCACCCAGATCCTCATGCAGCAAACCCTCCGGACCGTGGCCTTCTTGTGCGGTGAGTCCTCCCTGGTGGCTGGCGCCTGGGCCCTCCAGCCCTGATGGGCTTCCTGCCCTGTGGTGGGAGTTGGCGGAGATTTCCCTGCAGCAGAGGCAGAACCTCCACCAGACGCTGGGCTCCTTGCCTGTGCTGTCGCCCTGCTGTGCACCGCCAGGGCCAGCCTCGCTCCCGACAAGTGGGACATGCAATGTATTGAAGGGACGTGTCCAAAACTTCTCCTTGGAAATGATCCTGAAGAGGATCAGCTGCCCAGAGCTGTATAGGAGAAGAGTTTGGGAGATCCTGGGTGAGCTGAGCAGGCTGTGGGCCGGGGCTTTTCAGCAGATGGGCGTCTTGGGTTTCTAAGAGAGAGACACTGTCCCAGCATTCCCAGGTTCGTCCAGGGAGCCCTTTACCCACGGGCCATCCTGAAGGGTGCATTTGGGGGTGTCACATGCTGGCTGAGCTGGGCTGCACCGTGAAGAGCTGTTCCAGTTTGAGCTCCCACTTGCCTCCTCCCTGGCTCATCCCTGGAGTGACGGAGCCAGTCACACTGTCCCTTTACACTAGCCCTGAATTACTGTGCCCCAGCTGTCATCACCAGTATCCCCTGGCACTTCAGGGGCCTTGTCTCATTCTAAAGCAGTAGTTCCCTGTGGTGTTCCAGGAGGAAGGGCTGGCTATGCGGAGGCAAGGAGGCCCAGGTGAGGCCTGGTGACCTTCTGCCAGGAATTGGCGCCGGCAGCCAGGCCTCTGTATCCCAGGGCCGGTGGGTGTTTATTCCACAGTATTCCTCTCCAAAAGCCAAGGCTAAAGATTCTGACCTCATCCTCACAATTACAGGAACCTAGAACAAAACATCCATCAAATTCTATTTGGCACTAATCAATCAGATTGGCAACTTTTAAGCAAATTGGCAAGTTGGTGATATTCAGTTCTGGCAGGGTGAGTGGAAATCAAGCTATGGGAGGGGCTTCTCTTGGAGAATCTTTTGCAGTTATCTATCTGAATGTAAAAGGCACGTACTCTCTGGACCAGGCAATTCAGTCTTCAGGAATCTAACCTGTGTGCAGGGGTGTGGTGTTGTAGCTTGTAATATCAAATGGAACTAAGTATTCATCTGCAGAGGGTGGGTTAACCGTGATACACCCAGGACTAGAATTTAGACTGCCAGGGAAAAGGTAGATATGAATGTTCTGAATGTGCAGATTTGGAAAGATCACAAAAATGTTTAATAGATAAGAAAAAACCTTCAAGTAGGATAAGGGTGAGTATATTGTTCAGCTTGTGGACTCACTTTAAAAAGATACACATTTCAGGAGGCTGAGGCAGGAGGATTGCAAGTTTGAAACCAGCCCCAGCAACTTAGTGAAACCCTTTCTCAAATTAAAAAAAAAAAAAAAAATTAAAAGATATATGGGGCTGAGGCTGTAGCTCAGTGGTAGAGCGTTTGCCTAGCATGTATGAGGTACTGGGTTCGATTCTCAGCACCACATATAAATAAATGAATAAAATAAAGGTCTATATATCTAAAAAGTATATTTACAAAAGAGAGAGAGAGATATATATATACATTTGGCTGGGGTGTAGCTCAGTGGTAGACAACTTGCCTGTCATGTGTGAGGTCCTGGATTTAATCCTCAGCATGCACCAAAAAAGAAAAGATTCACGTTTGAAGAAAAAACATTACTGCAATGTTTTTAAACAGTTTTAATGCTTTATGATGTTCAGCTATTTTAAAATATAGTCCGTGTCTCCCTGGTTAATCGGCAGTTCTGGAGGTCATCAGAGTTTAAGCGGGGTGCCCAGAAATTTATAAAGTGCTTTTTCTTAAGATACACAAGTGACTGCTGGCCCACAGAAAGTCGGGGCTCCTTTGCTCTGTGGAGCAAAGCCCAGAGCTGGAAGGGGATCTCTTCCTGAAGTCCTGCTGGGCTCGGGCTGCTCTCTAACCTGCAGCAGCAGTCAATATGTTCATTCCTGTCACTTGACTGTGGCACTGGCGGGGAAGTTAACCAAAAGCCCTTTCATGCTTGTCATCTGGCGCCTGCAGCCATTTGCTCTGAACTCTTGCCACTTGGCTGCTATCAGGACCCTTGCTAAGAACAGTGCTGAGCACATGGGCAGATTTGGTTTATCATCTTCCCTGGGTGGGATGGTGTTTATTGAAGTTCGTATTTGACAGTTGACTCATTACTTTGGGAAATCCTGGAGAACAGCCCATGTAGCTAGTGTGACAGAAAAGAAAGAATCCAAGCACAGTTTGACCAGAATATGGGTTGCAGTATTTTCCAGAAAATGAAAAGAAAGTGCCTTATTGGCTCATGACTTCTGCATGTTTGCTTAATAGTTTTGTGCTGTATTGGAAGAAAATAGTTGGGGCTGAATAATCCATTCTTTGGTTTGTTTCAGAAACATGTGTGTTTGCATTTCTTGGCCTGTCCATTTTTAGTTTCCCTCACAAGTTTGAAATTTCCTTTGTCATCTGGTGCATAGTAAGTATTTTCCTTGTTTTTTTTTTTTTAATTTAAATACTTATTTGTAGATCAATAACATGTTCTGGATTCATTTATGTAACTGTTAACTGTTCAGAGTCAACAGCTACATAGACACACTTATGTTTTTAAAGTCTCTTTTGTTAAAAATCATAAACAAGGGGGACGGGGTGGGGGTGGGGGGATTGAAATTAAGTGGCTGAATAACCCTGGAAAAGGACTTGTGCATAGTTTTTTGTTTTTTTTTGTTTTTGTTTTTGTTTTTTATTTTTATTTTTTTTTCATAGTTTTTAATTTTCAGTGCACTTGAATGTTACGGTCTCTCCTAAGAAGAACAAACTCATATATATATATTTTTTTCTTTTTTTTTTTTGTGGTGCTGGGGATTGAACCCAGGGCCTTATGCATGCAAGGCGAGCACTCTACCAACTGAGCTATATCCCCAGCCCGAATTTATACAATTTTATGTTAGGTGATAAAAGCAGACTTCAAAATTGATTATGCAACCTGTTATAACCATGTATGTAAGAAAATACTGATGGGGCTGGGGCTGGGGCTCAGTGGTGGAGTGCTTGCCGAGCATGTGGGAAGCACTGGGTTTGATTCTCAGCACCACATATAAATAAATAAATAAAATAAAAATCCATTAACGTCTTTTAAAAAAAAAAAAAAAAAAAAAAAACTCTCATAGTACTTTTTTTTAAAAAAAGAAAATACTGACAAATGTTCACAGCAGTTGTTAAAATGGGGATGATTTTTTTCTTTGACCTTTTTCTGGAAAATTTATAATGGATGTATACTGCCTTCTTACTGCAGTTTTTTTTTTTCCCCCCAAATGTGCCTATTTATAAGCATGACCTTAGATAGTGGTTAAAGTAAAGATTACCAGACCCTGGGTGACTTCCTCAGAATCACCCAGGGGAGTTACCCAGGTGATGCTTATGACATGGAAACAGGGTTATAATTGGGCTGAGGGTGGCAGTAAAACAATTGAAATATACCTTTAAGAAAGAAGAGAGAGGCTGGGCCCAGTGCTGCACATTCCTGTAATCCTAGTGACTCATGAAGCTCAAGCAAGAGGAATGCAAGTTCAAGGCCAGCCTCAGCAACATGGCAAGACACTGTCTCAAAATAAAAAGTAAAACAGGGCTGGGCACATGGCTCAGTGGTAAAGCACCCCAGGTTCAAATAAATAAGGAAAGGGGAAATGTAATCATCTACAGCAGAATGGAATCCTTTTGGGGACTGGGAGGGAAAATAAATGTTTAGCATTTGAAAGAAAGGTCCAGCTCCCTCAAGCATCTGATTCAAGTGACAGCAGAGACCGCTAGCATTTGGGCATCTGGCCCAACACCTCCAGGTCCTTGCCTGCGTTTCTCCTTTGGTCTCTGTTTCTTCAGTTCGGGCTCATTCTTTTTCAGCCCAAGGCCCAATAGCTGATCTATACTCTTAAGTCCTAATTTAATCTTTTTGGGTCTCTCATTAATTTCAAGCATTTACAAGACACTCCTTCCTGTTGGAGTGTGGCATAATTGTTTTTTGTTTATTGCCAGTTCCACTTAAAACCCAGCTATTAGGAAGCAGACTTTATTAAAGCACTTTTACCTACCAAGTGCAAACTGGTAAGGACCTCCTGCTTAGCACCCAGGAGAGCCGTGGAGGACATAAGGAACCCTAGGGAAAGATGTCCTCCCTGACATCTGGGTTCTTCTCTCTGCCTTTCACTTGGCCGGAGCTTGTTGCTGTTTGTCAGTTGTCTGTCCTCCAAACTCAGGTTTCAGGACAAGAGAACAGCAGCAAAAGCCTTTTACAGAAAGTACAGTGGCCGTTACTGTCCTTGGTCAAGGGACCACCTTTGGTTAAACCTGAAACAAAGTGTAGGAGCTGAGATTGGATGTTACGGTGAACTTGGGAGGTGACTGTCCTAGCCATGGGCTGGGAGGAACATGGGAGGACACCCCAGGCAGTGGCTCAGTCCCCCCAAGCACCAGGCACAGGCTGGCCCTGTGGCTAGCAGAGCCCCTGTTTTGTTAAGGTAGTGATAGTTCCACCCTCACACCCAGCTCAGTGGTCTAGACTGTGGGCTTTGGGGTCTGACCAGGTTCACACCTTGGATCTACCTCTTCCTGCCCAGTCAGCTTCACTCAGTTCCTCGGCTTGCCTCAGTTTGCTTGTCTGTAAAATGGAGGTAGCACCCACTCCATAACACTGCTGCAAGATTCAGATACAGGCAGATAGGACACGTGAAATGTTTAGCACAGCCCCTGGCACTGGACCGCTGGATAATTGGGAGCAGTCGTTGTTAACCTGACCCTCTGAGGCGTACCACTCAAAGCACACTCAGGTCATGTTTGTTAAGAGAAATAAACTAAATAGGATTAAAATACATTCATGTGGAGGCTGGGGTTGGCAAGATTCAAGCTTTACATAAAGCTATATTTTGTTTGGTTTTTACCTTTTCTTTTTGCAGTACTGGGGATCAGGGCCTTGCTAAGTAACGCTCTGCCACTGAGCTCCATCCCCAGCCCACCCCATACAGCTATTTTTTTTTAAATATATATATATTTTTAAGTGTAGATAGACACAACACAATGCCTTTATTTTTATGTGGTGCTGAGGATCGAACCTGGGTCCCGCCCGTGCTAGGCGAGCGCTCTACCGCTGAGCCACAATCCCAGCCCCATAAAACTATTTTTCGTTAAGACTAAATGCCTTTGGAGATGGTGGGAACTAAAAGCCATAGCAACGGGCTAGGCCGTGTGTGGCCCCCTTGTTTTCTTTCTGCTCAAAGAAAAATGCCCAGGTAGGTCTTCTCAGTCCTTCCCTCCTTGTCCTGAGGAGCGTGGTCCCTGTGGCTGAGGTAGAAACACCTGGTTTATCCCTCCAGAGTTTGCCCCATGGGGAGGATTAGTGCAGACCTGTCCCATGGTGGCCACCATCGGAGGCAGGTTGCCCTGAAGTTGCATTCTGGATGTTTCTGCAAGGCCTTTGGCTTCTGTTCTGCTGTCATTACCAGAACCCTCATTGACACTTATTGGTCCTTTCTTCGGACTTTGGAACCAGGCGGGCATGATGATGCTGTGCACCTGTGATCCCAGAGAAAACGGAGCCACAAGGGTCATCCAGGCCTGTGTCTCTAGCCACCCACTGCTGCCTCTGCCTGGTGTTGTACCATTCACACCTTTCATGGCTGAGGGGGGCTGGTGCGTGGTGACAGGTGTGTTTTTGGTCTGCGTTGACTTGGGCAAACTGGGACCTGAAGAAGCTGACGTGTCCCTCTGGGACTTGGCTCTCTGCTGTTAACAGGTGCTCGTGCTGTTCGGCAGAGCCGTCAACATTTTCCCGCTTTCCTACCTCCTGAACTTCTTCCGCGATCACAAGATCACCCCGAAGATGATGTTCATCATGTGGTTTAGCGGTAAGTCAAATCTTGAGTAAATGGATGAAAAATTTTTATAATAAAGGTGCACACCAGCTGGGGAGAACCTGAAGCCACCTGCTAGAAATCCTGAAAGCCAACGTGCCTCATAAGCCAAAATTAATAAAAGCTCCCACTTGGCCAGGTGCCGTGGCACTCACGCGTAATCCCAGCAGCTGGGGAGGCTGAGACAGGAGGATCACAAGTTCAAAGCCAGCCTCAGCAAAGGGGCGGCGCTAAACAACTCAGTGAGACCCTGTCTCTAGATAAAAAATAGAAAATAGGGCTGGTGATATGGCTTAGTGGTCAAGTGCCCCTGAGCTCATTCCCTGGTACCCACCCCCAAAAAACTCCCATTTAACGGCCCCTACTGTAAGCCAGGCCCCTACCAGATGCGACCTGGCCACAGTAGCCTGAGATCTGGGGGACAGAGGGCATGCTTGGGATCCTGTGACCACAGGAGACAGAGCCAGGGTATGCCCTTCCTTTGTCCACCCCTCTCCTGGACAGGCCAGTGAGCCCAGGGGTGACCAGGCCAATTCTGGTTTTCTAGGCTGAAGTCATAATGGCTCAAAATAAAAGAGGTAGAAGTTAAAATTCTCACGGACCACGTGGTGATTCTCTGTCTTCCAGGGCTGGGGTGGGGCCCAGGCCCAGCACATGCAGGCAAGGCTCTGCCACCATCCACGCCAGGCCTGTGTGCTAATGCTGGGTGTTTCTTCCTTCAGTCACAGAGTTCTGACGCTCTCATTCAGAGTCTCAGCTGCCATTCCATCATGTTTCTCTACTTCCTCAAGGATGGAAATGACTCTATAAATCTTTGGCTCCTAGAGAACCGGGTCCTCAGCCATCTTTAAATTTATTTTTGAACAACACATAGAGTTCTCTGTGCTTTCGTGTTTAAATATTATAATTGAAACATTTCCATGTGGGTTGGATACAGCAACATGCTTTATAATGTTCTCTCTGGCCGCACAAATGGAAATTTGTCTCAGATTTCTCTTTTTTCAAAAAACGTGTGTGTGTGTGTACACGCATGGACTCATATACAACGAGAGAAGCTCAATTTTTTCTTTTTTTTAATTTTTATTTTTTTTTAGTTGGACACAATACCTTTATTTTATTTATTTTTATGTGGTGCTGAGGATCGAACCCATTGGCCACCCCTGCCAGGCGAGCGCTCTGCCACTGTGCCCTGGCCCCAGCCCCAGTTTTTTCTTAATCCTTTTTGCCAATGAAGAAAAACTCTTTTCGTGAACATACTTTATATACAAAGATATGAAAAATTGTGCTTTATATGTGTAATAAGAATTGCAATGCAAAAAAGAAAAACGAAAAACTCTTTGGAGTAGTCGATCCCAGGGCGTGAAAATCTCCCAAGAAAATCCAAGAACTGTGTCAGATAGTTCACAAAGCCACGGGGGCTCCATATTTGGGAGTGAGGGCAGGAGGACAGCTGCTGCAGAGCCACGTGTTGGGGGTGAGGCCAGCTGACCTCTGATAGCCCTTCCTCTATGATTTCCGGGTCTTTCTGGATCCTCTTTGAGGACTTTGCCTCTCTGGCTCCGCCCATTCCCATTTCAGCCTCTTCTCTTTCCCAGGCTTCAGCTCAGTCCCATCCCTGTCCCCTCCTCCACCATGGCCACCTGGGGCAGGCCACCCTCACTCACTGTCTCCACTTCTTCATCTCCTGTCCAGCACCCCGGAACTGGCCTTACCTGGTCACCGGTGCCACCTGCAGCCAACCTGCTGGGCCCAGTCAGCCCCCGCCCTAGCCACCTCCTGGCTTTAGGCTCCCTCTGCTGCCCACACTGCCTGAGCCCGCAGGCCCCTTGCCCTCTCCCCTGTGGGGTCTCCTCAGGCTCCGGCCAGCACCACCTCAGGACATAGCCCAGCCCTGCTGTGCTCGAGGTCATCACTCCCTGGGGAGCTCGGGGTTCATCGGGCTCCCCTGAGCAGACCTTGCCGAGTGCCTCCCTGGATGTCGTGGGGCCAGCATGGCCTCACTGAGACAGGTCTAGGGCCGCTAGGCTCGCAGCGCTGGCTGGGCAGTAGGGGAAGCACATCCCTTGGCTTCATCCTCTGCCTCTGGACCCTGCCTGTGTCCCTCACCACCCGCGGCCCCATCCTGGACCTGTGTGGGCCCTGCGCTGTCTCTGCCCCGCCCTCCCTCTCCGCACTCAGCATCTCCTGCGTCCTTGTTGATGGTCACTCCTCCCAGGCACTCTGGAAGCTCCCAAGGGCAGGGGCAGGGCCACCTGTGTCTGGCTGTGGGGTGCCAGAGTGGCCAGAAGTTTCTGACTGAGTGAAGGGCTGTCTCCTGCTCAGTCCACACCCTTGTCACTCCCCAAGAGCCTGTCACCACCACCAGGCAGCCAGAGCCCTGCCAGCACTGCCAGGGGCTCAGCACAGGCAGCCTCCTCAGATTCAGGGGGCACCTCCCGACTGCAGCCTGTGCTGCTGCTGTTCATGGTGGCCCCGGGTGGGACGAATGTGCTCTGGCCTGGCTCCTCAGTGTGTGGTGGAGCGCACTGGAGACTGCTGTGCACAAAGCCCTAGGCCTGGGGCGCCCGGGAGCGCTTGGCCCACAGCAGCCAGCATGAGTCACAGGCCTGGTGGCCTCCCTGCACAGGCACCTGTGCCTTGCAGCCTAGCGGGTCAGTGGCCTCACCACATGTCTGTAGCCGTGGAGCGGGTGGAGGGGCACCACCCCGTCCCCACTCCTCTGCAGCCTGCGTGGGCTGTGGTGCAGGCAACCTGCCGGGCAGCCGCTGCTGCTGCCTCCCCACACTCCCCTGACCACCCTGCCGCCCCCAGGCCTGCGGGGGGCCATCCCTTACGCCCTGAGCCTGCACCTGGACCTGGAGCCCATGGAGAAGCGGCAGCTGATCGGCACCACCACCATCGTCATCGTGCTCTTCACCATCCTGCTGCTGGGCGGCAGCACCATGCCCCTCATCCGCCTCATGGACATCGAGGATGCCAAGGCACGCCGCAGGAGCAAGAAGGACGTCAACCTCAGCAAGACGGAGAAGATGGTCAGTGCCGGCCGGGTGGGGCGGGGGCAGGCGTGCTGGGGACCCGCTGGTTGCCGCCTGCTGCCAGAAGGCAGGGAACAACCTGGCTTCTAGGGTGCCCTGCATCTCCATGATGCACAGGTGTGCGCTCGCAATACACATGCACGGGCATGCATCGCGGAGCACAGTGCAGTCACTGTGCTGAAGAGGAACTGGAGTTCTGGAGCAAGGCACTTTGGGGTGGACAGGCTGTCCGGACTCGGGGTTTGATGAGGCCACAGAGGCCACGGACAAGCTCTGGTACTTCCCTCTGGGGCCCTGGGGGCATTCCTCCCCTGCTAGTAGCAGAGCCACCTCTTGGGACCCAGGGCTGGAAGGTTTCAAAATCATGTTGTCTGCTGAAAACTTCCTGTTGGGGGCTGGAGGACAGGGAGGGCATGACTAGGGCTGGAGGGGTCCAGGGCCCGCTGCAGTCCAGCTGAGAATCCTGTTCCCTGCCCACCTCTGCTTCCTGCAAGCCACCCTCTGGGCCAACAGCCCTGGTGCCTCCCTGCCGTCCTGTGCAGAGGTGGGCCTGCTGACCTCCCTGCAGGCTCCTGCATCCCGCCCCCACCACGTTTCAGGAAATGCATCTTATTCTGGTTCCCATATTTGAGGCCACTGGTAACTGGTCACAGAAATCTTTCCCTGTTGGTCTAACATGGCGGTCAGGCCTGGGTGGTTCTGGGACTCGTCCCCACACTGGGCCTCAGCCAGGGCTGTGCTACTGGAAGGAAGCTTCCATGGCCAGGCAGGGCTCTGCAGGGCTCTTCGCAGCTCCCAGGCCTCTCTCCCCACCCACCAGCTTTCTTATTTGTTCTGAACACAATCTCTCATGGGGGTCAGACATTTGCTTGAGTATCAGAATGGACGGCAGGCTCGTCACAAGGTTACCACGAGGGTCTTAGAGGACTAGAGGAGGCCCCCCAAAATGGTCATTTCTTACAAGTTGCTGCTGCTGCCACCACTCCTGGAGAGCCAGCTGGCTGAGGGCCAGGAGGGGTCCTCAGGGGGACTGCTGCGGGGCCTCTCTCGGGTGCAGGCATGTGCCTGTCTCGGGCCATCCTGAGTACCTGCAGGAAGCAGATGCTCTCCTGGTCCCCATTTTGCCTCTAGGAATGCTGAGGCACAGGAGAGTCCCACTCACCCAGCTGAGGTCCCACAGCTCCCACAATCTAAGCTCGAAGTCACCACTTTCTCTTTTTTTTTTTTTTATATTTATTTTTAGTGGTAATTGGACGCAATGCCTTTATTTTTTATTTATTAATTTTTATGTGGTGCTGAGGATCAAATCCAGTGCCTCGCACGTGCTAAGCGATCGCTGTACCTCAGAGCCCCAGCCCCAGCCCTCGAAATCGCCACTTTCTACATTGGTGGTCCTCACAGTGGGGTCCCAGACCAGCAGCATCACTGGGCACTTAGACCTGCACATTCTCGGGCCTCACCCTAGACTTACTGAGACAGAAACTGCGGTTCCTGCCCAGTGTTTTGGGGTTCAACAAGCCCTCCAGGTGATGCTGACGTGGGCCACAGTGTCCGAAGGCACTTCCTTCGCCCCTCTCCCGAGCCTGCTGGAGGCGAGGTGGCGGACTGGCAGGCACTTTCCATGGCTTCGTCCGACTTCCTCCGGCAGAGCAGAAACTCCTGCTTCCCAGTGCTGCTGGCCTTTGGGCCTCCTGGCCAAGGGTGGCTGTTGGTGAGGCTTTGGGGAGCGCAGGAAGATGCACAGTGCCTGAGACCTAGGTCCTCCCTTCCGGAGCCACTCTTTTCTTCACCCCTCTCTGGAGCTGTTCTCCCCTCTCCCCTGCTCTGACTTGACTCGCCAGGAGGTGTCCCTGGCATCCATGATGTTCTTAGAGACTGTCGTACCTCCCGTGGGCTCCCAGGAGGCTGTTTGTACCCACATTCACCCTGCCTGGGTGTGAGGCACTTCGGGTTGGGGACACTGGTGACCTGGGGCAGAAGCCTGTAGGTAGTGGTGTGGGGCTTCCAGTTAGTGCCCGCTGACGCATCCGGCTGCCTTGTCCCCCAGGGCAACACCATCGAGTCCGAGCACCTATCGGAGCTCACCGAGGAGGAGTACGAGGCCCACTACATCCGGCGGCAGGACCTCAAGGGCTTCATGTGGCTGGACGCCAAGTACCTGAACCCCTTCTTCACACGGAGGCTGACACAAGAGGTGGGACCTTGCCTCCCCTCAGGAGGGCTGGCCGAGGGCTGGGGGAGGGAGTGTCGCGAGGGCGCCTCCCGGGCTGGGTGTGGGTGCAGCTGCTGTTTCCCTGGGCTGCGGATTTGCTCTTCACTTGGTAACAGCCTGTTCACGTGTTAGGTTTTCCTGGTTGATGGCTCCAGGCCTTGATCAGCTGTTGAAGCTGGGCTAAGTTTCAGGCAGGCCAGGGCCTCAGGGAGCCATGGTGCACTGCTAGGCGGTGTGGACGCCCTGTGCTAGGGCTGGGGCTCTTCCAGCCGCCCAGCACCTTCTGCTGCTCAGGCCGTGGTGCCAGCTGTCAGCACGCTGCAGCACCACCTTGCATCCCAGCCACCTGCAGGAGACAGCCGTGGTCTCCCTGACATTGAGGAAACTGAGGCCCAGGGAGTAGCCCCCGCTCCAGCCCAAGAGGCCACACAGCCAGCATGAGGATAACTCTAGAGGCTGCAGGGGCTTGGGGGTTTTTTTGTTTGTTTTTTGGGGGATGCTGGGAATTAAACCCAGGGGTGCTCTACTGCTGAGCTCCATCTTTGGCCATTTTTCTTTTGGGGAGTTGGTGGGGTCACTGGGGATTGAACTCAGGGGCACCCGATCACAGAACCACATCCCCACCCTGCTTTGTGTTTTATTTAGAGACAGGGTCTCACTGAGTTGCTCAGTGCCTCCCTTTTAATCTTCTAAAAGCAAGAGGTTTGAACCCACGATCCTCCTGCCGCAGCCTCCTGAGCTGCTGGGATTACAGGCATGAGCCACCACGCCCAGCTTTATTTTTCATTTTGAGCCAAGGTCTCACTAAGTTGCTGAAAGGGGCAGAGGTGCCACATTTTTATCCTCACACCATCTGCCTCCTCACCTCCTGTTTCTCAGGGGTCCCTCCTGGTGCCCCCAAAGCTGGCTGCTTAACACTGTGCCGTTGCCTGGTGCCTTGTCCTGCGCCCCCCAAGCCCAGGGGAAGCCCCTCCTCCACACTGACCAGGTTCATCTCATCTCCCGCCCCAGGACCTCCATCATGGGCGCATCCAGATGAAGAGCCTCACCAATAAGTGGTATGAGGAGGTGCGCCAGGGCCCGTCGGGCTCTGAGGACGACGAGCAGGAGCTGTTCTGACCCTTCTGGCAGACAGGGCCCAGGCGGGCCTTGCCACCCACAGACACCGAGCGTGGCCCTGGAAGTATTTGCACTTGGCAGCCTCTTCAGGGTGTCAGAAGGAGAGTGACGCGTGGCTGCGGAATCTTCTTAGCCCGCAGTTTTCCAGGCCTTTGGAAACTCTCATCTCCCCACTCCTCACTGAGCAGGGCCTCCATAGAGTGGAGTGGCCTCTGTCATGGGTAGTGCCCCCTCCTGCTTTGGCAGCCCCTGTGCAGCCCCTAAGAGAGCGGTTCGGCCTGGACAGGGAAGCTCGAGCCAGGGCCTGCAGGGAGCGCTGAGCCTGGAGCCTGGGGGTCAGGGTCTAACCCTCGTGCAGGCTTGGAAAGCCAGAAACCTCAACCCCCTGAGAAGGAAAAGCTGAGCGACCCTTTTTCTTTACCTCTGATTGGCACCTCACCGCCTGTCTTCCCGGGGCAGGCAGCTGCTGCCCTGCTCGGGGCGTATCGTGAATGTTTACACTGGTGCCCACCTTGAGGCTGGGCCCTTCTTAGAGCCTGGTTGAAAGCTGCAGCCCTGGGTCTCAGGCTGGGGCATTGGGCTCTTTTGTGGGGTCAGAGCGCCCCCTAGAGAGAAGCTGGAAAATGGTGTCTGCGGCCAGCCATGGCTGCCTTGATTCTGTTTCAGTTCATGCACTTTTACCAAGTCCAGGAGTCTGGTAGCCTCCTGCCTCGGCCGGCATCCCATCTCCCTCGCTGGGTCCTGCTGCTCCGTTGTTCTCGGTCATCCAGCCGAGGTCCTTTGCCAGCTGTATGTCCACCTGCCATTACCTGCTGCCACCTTCACTGCTGTGTAGGGTTCTATTCTCTTCAGTTCCCTACCATCTTGGTTTCTGTCCGTCTCCCGTGCTGGGGTGCCAGCTCCCCACCCAGAGGTACCATCTCGGGCCCTGCCTCCCCTGCCGCCTCAAGCTGCCAGTCGTTTCCGTGTGACCCACACCCCGTTCCCACCCACCTTTCGTGTAACTGCTCCACTACGCCCATCCACAGGCGTGGACAGCGTTCCCCTATGGCTCTGGGTCCCAGCTGGAGTCGAGAGCAGAACCCTCAGGTGATTCAGTTCATCACGGGCATGTCCTTGGCTCTCAGTGGGACACTGTGGGCCCACAGTCTGTATGGGCCAGCATGCCTTGGAGTGGTAGAAGGTGTATTTCTCTGTCTTGTGCCCCAGGCAGGGTGACTCTGGAATCAGGAAGGACCGACCGCAGACCCCCTAGGATTCTTTTTTTTTTTTTTTTTTTTGAATTTTTTAATATTTATTTTTTAGTTTTCGGTGGACACAACATCTTTGTTTGTATGTGGTACTGAGGATCGAACCTGGGCCGCACGCATGCCAGGCGAGCGTGCTACCGCTTGAGCCACATCCCCAGCCCCCCCCCTAGGATTCTTGCCAGGCCCAGCCCTCACTGCTCACCTTGCCCAGAACTTGTCGCCGTCAGGCAGGAAGCCGCGCTTGCTTTTATGCATGAGAAGTGAGTTTGTGCTTGATAGAGCTACAGCGTGGTCTTTTCCTTCCTAGAGTCCCACACCTTGACCCCATAGTTCAAGCCATCCCATTGCCTTGCATAATTTTGTTTTCCACCATTTCTTTGCTGTGGAAGAAGAGGTCAGAGAAGAAGGGGACCTTCGCCCTTGCTTGAGAATAGGCAGGGAGCTGAGACCAGATTGATCTCTTAGCCCAGCTCAGAGCTAATTTTTCTCCCCTGAAATCCAGGGTCTGATATCAGAGATGAAGGTTGTTTGGTTGTTTTGCAAGCTCAGTAACTTGCCAAGATTTTCTTTTTTTAATCTTAATTTATAGATGAAGCAATGAGACAGAAGGAGTCTTCTCAGTTCAGACTATTGTCATCAGGTCCAGTGGCCCAGCCACATCATGCCTTGTCCTCCCACTTTTTGCTGAGACCTGAGAATGTCATGGTGGGGAGCATCTGTGGGGTTTGGTAGAAAGGCCACCAGGCTTTGCTGGTGGGGAGGGTGAGACCTTTCCTGGGCGCTACCAGCACTAGCCTGGGTCTCCTGTGAGTCTCCTCTGCCCCCTGCTGGTAAGTGAGGGTTTAGCAGCCTGGAAGGGCAACCCGAGAGGTGAGGGTGACCGGCTTCGATTTGTAGTAAGCAGAAGGCCCTGCAGGTGTGTTTTTCAGGTGGAGTATCACTTCAGGCGGGAAATAAACGTAGAAGATATAAAAGGATCCAGTTTTGCTATACCTTCCCGCCTGCTTCAGATCTAGCCAAGAGACAGGACAGCTGTGGCTCAGAAGGTATTGCTTTAGAGTGAGGTAAGAGCCATGAGTGCCCCTGGGAATGCTGGCCCTGTAGCCAGTAAACCAAGATGTGCCACAGCAGGCCTGTGCCCCCGACACCCCACTTCCTGGGATAAATCGTACACTCAGTGCCACCTGTGGTTGTAGGACCTCTTGGAACAACCACACCCTGCAACTTGAGATTGGAGTCCTCAGGAGCTTTTCCTGAGTCCCCAGAGGTCAAGTCAGCTGTGGGCTGGACCAGGCTGGGGACGGCTCAGCCCATTGGTGCCCAGCCTCTCAGCCCAGGAGCAGAGCCGAAGCCCTCCAGTCCTCAGCCCAAGCCACCGGCCCTCTCACAATGGGGCTGTAGCAGGGCCCTGCCTGGCCCAGAACGTGGCAGCCGCAGTCAGTGCAGACGTCCTCTTTTGCCGTATATGCCTTTGTGTGCGGTGGATGCCAAGACGGGCAAGTGGGGGCCTCCTTGACACTGGCCAGATATCCCTATCCCTCAGCAAGACCTGGCCTCCTGAGTCTTGGTCCCTGTTTCCATGGACCCACACCCTGGCAGAGCTCTCAGCAGGGTAGCTGTTACCAGGACCTCACTAGCTTCGCAGTCCAGGGACTGGCAAAGCCCAGGTAGAGAGTTGCCCCTGATTCCAGCTGGAGGATCTCACAGCTCTCTGCTGTAGGGTAGGATTTTAAAATACAAAATAGGGTCCCCTCCCCATTCCCTCCAAAATGCAGCCATGTGTTTCCCCTGCTGGTTGGAGCGTCAGAAGCTGAATCTGAGATGTTCCCAACACTGCAGCCAGAGTCATTAGGGTGTCCTCCCAGGACCCCACCTCCAGGGCCCAGGCCTAAGTACAGGCTCCCAGAGAATAAGGAGCTAGCTCCTTGCCGGTTCCTGCCGTTTCTCAAATGCATATTCATGGGCCACAAAGGAAGGACTTTCTAACATGGCCTGCCCCATCCCATTTCCCCACCATCCCAGGGCCCTTACCCACGGTGTGGACTCTCAGCTCTGCAGGCAAGAGGCTGCTGGGAGCCCCTCGGGGCTGTGGGACTGGAAGGAAAAAATGTGTTTGGTGGCCAGAGGAAAGAAGCCACTTGCACATGACAAGGGAGGGATGGTTGGGAGGCCCCAGCTTCCACCAGAGGCTCCAGTGCCCTCCGCTGCAGTTCCCACAAGGCCAGATCTATTCTCACAGCCAATAGGAGTCTTGTATTTTTTTTCATATTTTCTCTAAAAATTAAGGTGTGTGTAATTAAGTTTGGGTTTTTTATTGTTGTTTATTTTTTATTTAAGGACCCCAGGGAGGAAAAAACAATTAAACAGGGACCACTGGGGCCAGGCATTGGGGGCCCTGGCTGCAGGGGATGGTGGCTGCATTGGGTGGGGCGGCTGTGCTGCTGGGCCCCTGCTTGTCTCCCTGGACTGAGGATTCAGGATCGGAAAAGTCATGTCACTGGATATTTATTTAGAAATAAAAATGCTGCCGAATCCGAACGGGCTTCTGTGTCCGTGTTCCCGTGGCTTTGCACATACAGGTCCTGCACTCCTGGGCTCACTCTGGTCACACAGCTTCTTGGGCCAGCAGCGAACAGTCCCGTGAAGGGCAGTGCCTGGCAACGGGGACTTGGTGTGACGAGGGCCAGGATCTGGTTCCTGCTTCTGCCCCCAGGAGAAATATGAGGCCGAGGTGGCCGCCTGGGCTTCTCACGGGTACAGGAGCCCGTCTCCCAAGCTGGTGGCAGGGCCACCTAGGATGGCACCTGTGGTGGCTGTTGCCTGACAATTAAGCAGATCGTCTCCACTGAGCCCACACAGCCGCAGAAGCTGCCTGTCCCCTCCTGGGAGAGGAGGCAGTGGCAGTGGGTGGGCATGAATTGAGCTTGCACGTCCGTCCAGGGGCATCTGAAGCTTCTGTGAGAAGAGGCGCAAAAAAGAAAACGAAAACGAATCTAGAACGGGGGCGGGGGGGGGGGCGAACCCGCTCCCTGTTCTGGCCCATGGGGACGGGGGCGGGCCTCCTCTCCCAGGCCTGCACCGCATCCCGTCCCGCCACAGCCATGAAGGGGGAGAAGTCGCCCCAGAACACGACCTGGCCTGGGCTGCCCAGGTGCCACCAGCCACAGACAGGGTGTTGGGAGCAGCGATCCAAATTACGGTCCTCAAGCCGGGGACAGGAGCACATCTGAGCTGGGAACTTGTGCAAAGGCCCAGGTGAGACTGCCCAGTTAACTGTGGTGATGCCCTGTTCAGAAGAGGTCCCAGCCTGTTATGGGACTGTCACTTCTGACTCCAGTTCAGACACTAGCTGCAGGGGTGAAGAATTGTGAGCAGAGTCTGGTCACGATGGGCTGCCCCCAACCGCGACCTTTGTCCTGCTTGTGTTGAAGAAACTTTCCCAAAGGAAACCTCGATGATAAACGTGCTGGCCTGGCTCGGTCATTCGTCCCTCGCCAGGGGATGAGAGCCACGGGTCCCCAGCTTTCTCTCTAGGTGTGTCTGTTTGTCTTTTCTTCATCCCCTATCGCCCCTTGTCCCGTTTCTGAACTAACAGCCATGCAGGTGGCAGCAGCAGGGGACCCAGTCTGGGACTGGAGGCTGCAGAAGGCCCACAAGGCCTCAGCCCCCTCCCCTCTGCCCACTGATGCTGGAGAGACCTGGGTCCGGAGAAGAACTGCAAGTGTGGTGTCAGGTGGTGGCTGTCACGGCCTCAGTGTAGGGAGACTGAAGTGACAGGACTGGGAATGGAAAGCAGGATTCGCCCAGGCAGCACTCCATGTTACGTCATGCCCCTGCACCCCCGAGGGAAGCTCTCAGCATAGCGGGGAGCAGTCAAGAGAAAAAGCCATTTCCTTAGAGCTCGGGGCCAAGGAAGGTCTGGCACAGCTGAGGACCCCGTGGTCCCCACTCTTCCCACAGGGGAGCTAAATGTAAATTTCAGGAGTAGAATTTTGCGAACATGCTTTGAGAAATACACATACTGGGTTAGAGGACATGGAGAAGACTTTGACCGTGACAAGAGGGGTCCTGCGAAGACGATTTGTATGTGAAAGACGTGTTTCATACTATAACCGTGTTTTGTGTGTGCATTTACTCCTCATGACCGGATGTGGAGTTGACAATGCTGAGTACTTTTTTTTTTTTTTTTGAAAAATCTAAAGTGCTTGATAAATGTTAAAAATAGAAGTAAAATATAAATGATTTGGAGGGGCAGTAACCACCCCCTGTGGAGTGGCGCTCACTGGGTGCTGGGCTGGGAGCACGGTGGCTTACGCGAGGTGGGGCAGAGCACTGTCCCGTGCCCCGGTTTGGTTTTACTTTGCTGTGTACATAGTGTATGTAAAGGACACACGAGTCGTACTCTACTTCTAGTTTTCTAGATGCTAAAAAGATTGCAAGTATATGACAAAAGTGGGATTCGTAAACATTCTGTACGTTTTGTGTTAAAATTCCTAAGCATCAGGTGCAGTGACCTGTAATCCCAGTGGCTGGGAGGCTGAGACAGGAGGATCTGAGTTCAAAGCCAGCCTCAGGGGGGAAAGAAAGCAACTCAGGAGACCTGTCTCTAAATAAAATACGAAATAGGGCTGGGGTGCGGCTCAGTGAGCGATGGCCTCTCGGTTGTTGAATCCCCGGTACCAAAAAGAAGGAAGTCTAGGAAGGGCTGGAGTGCGTAGCCCTGGTGGTGGAGGGCCGGAGGGCTCACATTCTGAAGACCTTTTCACATTAGAACTACTGTTACACGTGTGCCCTTTACTCAAGACGACTGTCATTACGTAGTGGACAAACGGCGTCCTCACCTGAAACACCTCGTCTGTCTGGGCGTTTAGAAGTGTTTTGTGGGTGCGTTTTCCTCCTCGTGACCGTATGTATAGTTGACGATGCTAAGGACTTTAAAAAAAAAAAATCTAGACTTTCTAGCTGTTCCAAAGCGCCTGATAAATGTTAAAAGTAGAAGTAAGATATAACCCATTTTGTAAACTCGGTGTACGTTAGGTGTGGAGGTGGTGGAATAGCTTCACAAGGCTAACGTCCTCAGCTGGGCGGCTGCCAACACGGGGTGGGGGGGAGCTGGACTACAAACGAGGATGGGGGGCGGGGGACATGGAAGGGTCAGAACCTTCCTGTGTGCATATCTGGATACACGGCAGTGTCAGTCCACATCGTGCACAACCACAAGAATGGGAAGCCACACTCCAGGTGTGACATGTCCTTTATATACACTCTACTGTCGTATGTACCTAAAAAGCACAAATTAAATGTTTTTAAACAGAAGAATTCCCACAGTACCAACACACTCCTTTGACCCCTGTGTGCCAGCCTGGTCCCCCACCTCCTCCCCCTGCTGCGGCATCACCTTTGCTAAGAGAACCCGTCGTGTTCACGGAGGGAGGCCATGTCCTTCCGGGAAATGGCGCACCCCGGATCTGGCCATTCCTGGCTGTTCCCTCCTCTTGCCTGAGGAGTGCTGATGGGTGGGCCTGACCCGGGGGCAAGAGAAAGAGGGCTATCTTGGGGGAGTTCAAACTGTCCCCTCATTCCCAAAGAGACACTCAGGAAAAAAAGAAGCCAAATGGTATCCCCGGGTCGTGGCCCTAGAGGTGAGGGTGTGAGGAGAGGCTGGAGCGGCCAGCACCTGGGACAGAGGCGCCCGGTGATAGGAGGTGGTGGCTGTTGTGCCCGTTGTGGCTTAACTGTCCTCAGCGGTCCCCTGCAGGTTCCCTTCCCCAAGAGTGGCAGGCAGTAGGAGCTGGTCCTGGGAGTCCACCCCACCTCCCGCCCTGGGAACCCACAGGGCTCCTCGTGCCCTCCCTGCCCTCCGCGGGAGTGACCGGACCCTCTCCCAGGGCCACAGTGGCAGGCCCACAGCCCCTCCCAGCAGTCATGATTAGGTTTAGTCATGGTGACAAAAGCCAAAATTAGTAGTGGCTTCCCTGGTGCCCTTGATAACCAGGATTCTCAGCATGGGAAAAAAGATAGGCTTAGAAAGAGTCCGCTGCCCCGGATTTTACTTTGAAGTATGAGTAATCCCAGCAGCTGGAGGCTGAAGCAGGAGGATGGAGAGTTCAAAGCCAGCCTCAGCGATTAGTGAGACCCTAGTGAGACTCCCTGTCTCTAAAAAAATAAAAAGGGCTGGAGATGTGGCTCAGTGGGTAAGTGCCCCCCGCCTCAAAAAGAAAAAAAAAAGCAAATGGAAAAAAAATGTGACTTAAGCAAAACAAGAATTTTTCACCTGGCAACCTGGAGGCAGGCAGCGCAGGCAGCGCATCGCAACAGGCCCCTGAGCACAGGACCCGGCCCTCGGTGCTGCCCAGCCTCCTTCACCTGGCTTCTCCCTCAGAATCTCAGCGTGCTCCAGGCCCAGCCTTCACGGCAGGCCAGTTGGGAGAAGAATCTCAGCAGCAAGAGCAAGCTCCCGTTCTTTTCTTTTTCTTTTTTTTTTTTTTAATGTGCTGTCCAGCTGCCCACGGCTGCTCTGAAATTCTGGGTTCAGGCGATGTTCCAGTCTCAGCTTGTTGAGTAGCTGGGACTACAGGTGCCTGCCACTGATCAAGCTCCTTTTTTTTTTTTTTGGTGCTGGGGATCGAATCCAGGGGCACTTTACCACTAAGTCACACCCCCCAGCACTTTTTATTTTTTATTTGAAAGAAGATCTTGCTTAGTTGCTGAGGCTAGCCTTGAACTTGCAATCCACCTGCTTCAGCCTCCCAGATCGCCGGGATTACAGGCGTGCGACACTGTGCCTGGCTCAAGCTGCATTTTTGAAGAGCATGTCCTAGAAGACTTACATACAAGGCAACTTTCCATCCAGGCACCAGACATGATCACGTGACCATCTGGCTGCAGGAGAAGCTGGGAAACAGTCCTTATTCTGGATGGCCTAGAAGTCAGGGTACCATCTGCAGTGTCTACCACAGCTCTCCTCCCAAGACAGTCACCAGTCGTGTGGGGTCCTGCAGCCTGCTGCAGGGAGCTGGCAGCAGAGTGGGTGCTACACAGCTGGTGGTGTTGAAGTATGCTTTCCATTTCAATAGACAAATTAATCAGTTGCCCCCCACCCCATGTCGACTTCCTTTATCTCTGGGCTGTGTGCGCCTCCAGGAGGCCGCTGCTCCCAGGAGGGCCATTTCCTGGGTGGCAGCTCACTGCAGTCCCAGCACCTGGACATCTGGTCCGGGACCTGAACACTTGGTCAGCCAGTGCATGAAGCAGAGCGGCCTCCCTTCCCGGCGGCTGAGCTGCCCTACAGGGCCGGCCCAGTGGAGAGTGGGCACAGAGGTCCTGATGGGCTTAGGGCCAGAACTGCCAGCTGCGGCTGCTCTCTGCTCACCCTCAACACTGCTGCCTGACTTTTTTAATGGAAAAGTGGCATGGCGTGCCCTAAGAGGGTGACTGAAAACCCAACTACGATCCTACCGGAGGCTCTGCCTGACACTTCTTTTTTGGTGGGGAGGGTGCTGGGGTTGAACCAGGAGCACTTATACACTGAGCCACAT